GGACACCACGGGACACCTGGGGAAACACATCGATCTCAGTACCGATCTCATTATCGATCTCTTTATCGATCTCACTCGACGGGGCACCTCGGGACATCGCGGGGCACCTCTCGATGTCACTATCGATCTCACTATCGATCTCACTATCGATCTCACTCACCGGGACACCATAGGGCACCACGGGCCACCACCTGACACATCGGGACACCACATCGATCCCACTATCGATCTCACTATCGATCTCACTCAACCGAACACCACGGGACACCTGTCGATCTCACTATCAATCCCACTATCGATTTCACTTGTTGGGACACCTCGGGGCACCAACCACATCGATGTCACCATCGACCTCACTATCGATCTCTTTATCGATCTCACTCAAAGGGACAACACGGGACACGACGGGACACCTGTCGACCTCACTATCGATCTCACTATCGATTTCACTTTTTGGGACTCCTCGGGGCACCTCATCGATCTCAGTATCGATCTCACTGTCGATGTTACTATCGATCTCACTATCGATCTCACTCAACGGGACACCACGGGACACCACGGGACACCGCGGGACACCGCGAGGCACCGCCGGACGGACGGACGGACGGGGCAGAATCATTTGTCTTGACTTCGCCCTTGCAATGGCGGACACCACGGGACACCGCGGAACACCGCGAGCCACTTCCGGACGGACGGACGGACGGACGGGGGAGAATCATTTGTCTCGACTTCGCCCTAGCAACGGCGGACACCACGGGACACCGCGGGACACCGCGAGCCACCGCTGGACAGACGGACGGACTGAGGGGAGTCATTTGTTTTGACTTCGCCCTAGCAGCGGCGGGTTCATTCTTCTCGCGCGCCCACTCAGCGTCGCCTCGCCCGCACGCGCGACACGAGCGAAACGACACGATTTCCCGTCTGTGGGTCTCCGTTCCACTGCGATCTCACCCCCGAACCTCCGACATTACCAGTGGCGGGCTTTTTTCCAATCCCAAGACTGTTTGAGGGTCGGGGGCGACGTCGGGGTGGTGGTGGTGTATGTGTGTATATATATATATGTATATATGCATGTCCCCGATATCCAAAGTCAACAACGACAAATGTATACACCAGAGTCCCGTACCTATACGGCCACCCTTCAGGTGATAAAGAGGTTCTGGGGGGTGGGAGAGGGGACTCAATCGATCTCACTACCGATCTCAATCAATGGGGGAACCACGGGACACCACCGGACACCATGGGACACCACGGGACACCTGTCGACCTCACTATCGATCTCACTATCGATCTCACTCAACGGGACACCACGGGACACCACGGACCACCACGGGACACCACGGGACACCGCGGGGCACCTCTCGATCTCACCATCGGTCCACTCAACGGTACACCACGCGGGACACCACATGGATGTCACTATCGATCTCACTATCGATCTCACTATCGATCTCACTCAATGGGACACCACGGGACACCACGGGACACCTGTCGATCTCACTATCGATCTCACCTTTTGGGACACCACGGTGCACCACGGAACACCTCGGAGCATCACATCGATCTCAGTATCGATCTCACTATCGATCTCGCTCAACAGGACACCACGGGACACCACCTGACACCTGTCCACCTCACTATCGATCTCACTGTTGGGGACACCACCCGACACCACGGGACATCTCGGGGCGCCACATCCATCTCAGTATAGAAGTTCTGAGAACGTGCATCCTGAGTGAGCGAGAGGGTCTCCGCCATCGTTTCAGACGGTTGAGTTTATCGATCTCACTATCGCTGCCACCGTCGACCTCACTATCGATCTCACTATCGATCTCATTCAACGGGACACCACGGGACACCGCGGGACTCCGCGAGCCACCGCCAGACGGACGGACGCGGGAGAATCATTTGTCCTGATTTCCCCTCAGCAACGGCGGACACCACGGAACACCACGGGACACCACGGGACACCGCGAGACACCGCGATCCAACGCCGGACGGATGGACGGACGGAGAATAATCATTTGTCTTGACTTCGCCCTAGCAGTGGCGGGTTCATTCTTCTCGCGCGCCCACGCAGCTTCGCCTCGCCCGCACGCGCGACACGAACGAAACGAAACGATTTGCCTGTCGGGGGTCTCCGTTCCACTGCGATCTCATCCTCCAACCTCCGATTCACCAGGATCCATTTTCCTGTGCAAATTTCAGCGCAGGGCAAAAAAACGTCGGTGCCTAGATTTCGGTTCCCTTCAGTATTTGAGATCTTCAGTTTCGGGTTGCGGGGTTTTTCAGGCACCCGGGCCACCAAGAAACATTTGGACGAGGCAACAGTTTCTGTATTGACTGCGGAAGCGGTCGGGAGGGGGTGGTTCTCCCGAGATTTCTTCACCGTTTGTGATCCTCAGGCTTGGACTTCCCAGAACCTTTGATGTTGGCCGTTGGCCACGTTGGCCGTTGGCCAGGGCACGTTGGCCCGCACTCGTTGAGCGCCACGGTTTTGAATCATGCTTTACTGTTGGGCATGTTGTACTCGTATGGGCGATGCAACAATTCCTCCTCCCCCTCCTCGCCCTCCTCCCCCTCCTCGCCCTCCTCCCCCTTCTCCCGTTCTGTTTCCTTGTACTCAGCATTGGAGATCCTCCTCCTCCTCGTCCTCCTCGTCCTCTGTCTCCTCGTCCTCCTCCCCCTCCTCGTCCTCCTCCCCCTCCTCCCCCTGCTCGCCCTTCTCCCCCTCCTCGCCTTCCTCCCCCTCCTCCCGCTGTGTTCCCTTGTGCTCAGCATTGGAGATCTTCATTCGTTTCGGGGCGCAGAGGGGCTCTTGACGAAACAGCAGTGCTCCTGTCTTGCGGACGGGATCGGGAGGAGGTCGATCCGCCAGAGGCTTCCTCACCGCCTGCGGGCGTCAAAGGTGGAATCCCCAGAGCCTACTAATTTCCCAGCGAGATCTTCATCAGTTCTGTCTTGCGGAGGGAAACAACAGTGCTTCTGTCTCCCCAGCCTACTACCCAGCGAAACAGCAGTGCTTCTGTCTTGCGGATGGGACCGCGAGGAGGTCGGTTCGCCAGAGGCTTCCTCACCGCCTGCGGTCGTCAAGGTTGGAATTCCCAGAGCCTACTACCCAGCGAGATCTTCCTCAGTTCCGGGGGGACCACCAACGAAACACTCGACGACAAGACATGCGTTCTATACCCGGAAGTGGCTGGACACTTGGCGGACCCCGTGCTGGAAGAATCTCACGACTGGAGGCCTTGAGGCCCTCTCTCGTGCAAAAGCTCGTGGCACCGGAGCCCTGTCGGCGCGCTCCCCGGCGGGGGGTTGCTGGCGGCATTGCTTGGCGAGCCTCGTCACCTTCGAGATGGGGAGGCGGGTGTTCTGGGGGGGGGCACGCCAGACAATTCGCATTTCGGTTGCCCCGATTGGCCACTGCCGGGCGCATTCCTCGATACATGGGCGCCTCCCGGCGCCGGGAGGCGCCGGGAAAATCAGCTACGTTGGCTGATTCTCAAACCCCCCTTTGCTATCCCCCCCTTTCGCCCGGCCCGAGATTAGTCACACGCTGGAGCCGAGCGGATTGCCTCTGCCTCGCCGCAAGTTGGGGAGGGGCACCAGTCTGGGCCAGATTCCCACCTTTCGCACTTCCAGGTTTCGAGCGCTGGTGGCTGGCGGGAGTTTCCTTCAGCTCTGCCAGTACGTGCGCAGATCTCGGCGATCGATGCCATTTGTCCTCAGCCCTGCTGTGCAGGTGCCGGCGGCATCTCCTCCGTCTCGGCCTTTGGAGGCAGGCTCGCCTCTGGCTCCAGGACCGTCACGAGGCGACTCGTGGCGAAAGTGCTAGCCCTGGGGGCGGGAGCCGACAGTTCTGGCGGGGCTCGCGCATGGACAAAATGTGGGCATTGCAGGTCTGTGAGAGCTCCGTATGTCCTTGCACATGCCGGGGCTTCTCATCCGAGTACGGTGGGGTCGTTTGTGAACGAATGCGCCCAGGACGCTGCAGACCCTGGAGGATTCCTTATCTGATGAGGGCGGTGGTGATATCCATGGCCAAGCTTCGATTGGAGTTCCACTGGCCTTCCCAATTCGCCCACCGTAGCCCTCTCTGACCCCCCCTCTGCGAGTTGGGGCCAGACCCAGGAGTACGGATAACGCATCGACCGCCTGCACGAGACACGAGGGCCTGCCCTACAGTCTGATCGTCATATAAGAGAACCAGCCTGCCAGCAGGTGCCTCTCGACAGCTTCTTGTCTTCCGATTGCCTGTGGGGCCCGACGAAGCCCTGGAGCACCTCAGGAAGCCCAAAGCTCTGTGACCAACGTGCCCATGTATCTCTTAGAGGTATCGTTTAACCGATCCCCATCTCCATCCCCATCCCCATCCCCATCCCGACCCCCACCAACTTACCACACCAGTTGGGGATACACCCGTCGAAACCCGAAGGGAACGACCTGTATCCCCATATAGGGGGGTAAATCGGCCAGTCTGGCCCAGGCCACGCCGCTGGAGATGAGGGTCGATTCAACGATACTCAATTATATATCTCCTGTAGCAGGTTTTCCCAGAAACTACCTCCATTCTTCCACCTGGCGCCCAAGCCAAACACTCTCTCGGTACTCCCCTCTCCTCCCTCCCATTCCTTCCTCTCGCCGTTTCCTCGCCCTCATCTCGCCATCCTCCTCCCTCCGTTCCTCTCATCCTCCGCCATCCTGCTCCCTCATCTTCTCCTTCTCCCTCTCCCCACCACCCTCTCCTCCTCCTCCTCCTCTTCCACCTCCTCCTCCACCTCCTCCTCCTCCTCCTCCTCCTCCTCCGCCTTCTCCTCCTCCTCCTCCTCCTCCTCTCTCTTCCCTGCCCCCCCCCCCCCCTCCCGACCTCCCGACCCCCCTGATTTACGGATCCGGCGTCCACGTCAGCCCGAGCCCGAGCAAGCGGCAGAGAGGCACAGCAGCGCCGCCCCCCCACACGGCCCCCGGCGCTGGCTGTCCTCCCCGGATCTCCCGCGCAGGCGTCGGGCTTCACCGCGGCCGTGGAGATCCCGCCCACGGTCACGGCGCCCACGGACTGCAAGATTGGCGCGCCGTGGGCACCCAGAGCAAGCAGAGAGACACAAGCACCGCTGCTCCTCTTGGAGTGCGCCCGCGTCGCCGTGGAGAGCCTTCGCCGCCACGGTTGAGTCGGGCCTGTCCCTCTACAGGATGAATCTACAAACGCAGTAAATGCACAGCACGGGGGCGATGTTTAAACTATTTGTTGAATCTGTTGTAGCTTGTTGCGGTATGTCTTTAGTTGTCGTCCCAAATCCGCCTGTAGGAGGATATGCCCGATTGAACGCCACGGCTGGACTCTCTGCGACATTCTGGTCAGAACGCACCCCGGGGCAGGTCCCGGGAGTGGCGGTGTCGGCACCGGGGGAGGTTAAGGTTTGCAAGACCCCCGTCGATTTTCCCGCGCCGACGGCGCTGGTGCATCGCCGACGCCGCCGACACATCGCCGACGCATCGGCGATGCAGCGGCGATGCGGTGCGATCCTCCGACCCCATCATCTATTCGGACCCCATTCGGGAGGCCTTCAGTTGTTACAATGGAAGCTCATGCCAAGAAACACCCTGCTTACCTCCAGGGTGCCCTGGGTTCCTCGGGTTTCGATGGCTTAGCTATGGAGGTCTCAGGGTTGGGTCTCTCGTGGAGGGTTTCTCATTGTCGAGCCCCTCTGTAGCTTAGTCGACTAGACGTGAGAGTGACCTTTGGTGCGGGCACAGATGGGTCCTCAGATGGCTGAAAACGAAACGGTAGCAGCGGCTTGCGCGAACAGGTTTGGTCTCCCCGCGGCCCCCAAAAAGCCGCGCACCAAAGGTCATTCTTACCCAGGGTCACTCTTGCGTGTAGCCGACCTGGGGTGGCACCCGACGGCCAGGCGAGACTCGAAGAGTGTGGGGGTCGCCGGAGGTCAGGCTTGCCACGCTTGCCGGCGTTCATTGTTCGGCTTCTTCGTCCCTCTCCATCCTCCCTCCCCCACTCGGCGGCGAGCCCACGGGGGAAGTGGAAGTTAGAGGGGCAGGCCTTCTCAGACGGCGGGGCTTCTCGGAAGCCCTCGCGCCTCCTGAGAGGCCGCGTAAGCCTTCTCCCGCTTCACGGATGGCTTCCCAGAAGATGCGACGGCTTCTGAGAAGCCCCGCCGCCTTCAGAGAAGTCCTGCCCCCTCTCACTTCCCCCTCTGGGCTCGCAGCTGACCCATGTCTTGGTTTTTTTGTGGTTTTTGTTTTGCAATTCGTGCTTCAATTTCGGCTTGAATTGTTTTCGGCAGCGACATGCCATGGTGCGTTTCGCGAGTCGGGCTGCAAGCATCAGCAGTGTAGTGGACACGCGATATCTGAACTGACGTCGTCGAGAATTTCCAGTTGGCCCTGGATCGTCAAACTCGTCTGGCACTTTGCTGAACAGCCTTGTCCGTTTTGATCCCATCCCTGGGTGTTTCTGCCAAAACGCTGCGCTTGTAGGAGTGATTGGTCCGGTCAAGACCTTCGAGCTTCCATGCATCGTTCGATCGAGCGAGCGATAGCTCCTGAGTTTCGGCACCCTTGATCCCCGCCCCCATCGACCCTCGATGCCCGAATCTGCCCAGCCGGTTGGGCGCGGCCTCCCTGCACCCAGCAAGGGCAATCATAAGAAATATCCAACATAGAAACAACACAAACACAGGGCAGCAAAAAACTCAGGACATAACAAACACCCAAGGGTTTGTCTGTTGTTCTGTTCGTTTTTTGTTTTGGGGATTCTGTCTTCACATATCCCAAGTCCTCGAACGTCTCGACTCTCGAGCGCTCGACCGCTCCGGAGTTCGGGCCCATCTCGCCAGGATCAAAAATCGATCGATTGTTTCCCAGAGTGTCGAGATCCACCCCAGGAACTCTCCAACAGTTCGTTGTGGCCATGCCTTCATGGGAATCCCGCCGTGGCGGCAAGAGGAGGTTCTCCCGGAGGCCCGGCACAGGTGGAATGCGACCAAGATTGGGGCTCAAGAGGCGGGGGTCAATGCAAGCGGGGGTCGGCCAGGGCAACGGATCTTGCAGGATCCTGCACGGCCAGGGTCGCATTGAGCCGGGCTTGGGTGCAGAACCCTGCAGGATTCTGCGGAATCCTTATGGATCCTGCGAATCCTGATTGCCCTAGGTTTACATTGACCAAGGGCGCCCTCGAGGGCGCGAAGTTATTCGCGCTTCGCGGTTCGGCTCCGATTCCTCCTCATCCTCCTCTTCTCCCCTGGGAGGCGGCGGCAGAGCGCGAAGTTATTCGCACTTCGCGCAGCGCGAAGCGCGAAGTTGGGAGCCCTTGTTGAGTCTCCGACGAGAGCAGCCTCGCCCCCCGATCCGCGACCGATCGACACACCTCCTGTGCCTACAGTCGGGCCGCAGATGAAGGAACCCTTCTCGTTGTGGGGGGCTCAGTCTTCCCTACTTGTCTTACAGCTCGGCTTAGGGGTCAGTCGGGCCTGTCCCTCTACAGGAGGAACATTCAAACATAATTTTGAAAAAAAAAAACATGGGATGCTTTTTTGATAGTTGTTTTACAAAGTTTGAGTTGTTCTTGAGTGTGTTTGATCTTTCGCCCAACATCCGCCTGTAGGGGGACATGCCCGACCTAATCTTAGGTTTTCTTTGTCGAAGGTTCACTTGTAGGGGAAAAGACATCGTTCCTTCTATTTAGGGCTCCTCGCCTCTCGATCCTTGCCATCGGGTTCGGCCTCCGCCGGGCCCCAAGACCGTCAGGAGGGGACCCAGGATGAAACGCCAGTCCCAGCGACAGAGTCGAGACCTCGAGGGCCGATGCTGCGAAGAGAAAAAACCCGATCCTCGACCGATCGATCGGTCCTGAGCTTACGGTCGAACCGCATGGGAAGGATGGGCACCCTTCCCAAGGGTACCCGTGCATCCCCCGCCTCATCGGCCCATCCTTCTTGGCCCCTTTCGTGGGCCGCGCCCCGCACGAAAAAGCTTCCGAACGGCCCTACGAGGCCCTTGCGCGCCCTCATCGCGCATCCGTGCGATGGGGGCCGCCTGTGCATGGGCCCCCCCCCCCGCCCAGCCCACGTCCGGGTGGACGTGGCCGCCGGGCCCCTGCACTCCGCGGGGCTGGCGCGCGCCCCCGCGCTGGTCGTGATCTGCCCGCTGGGGCCTGCCGCCGGGCCGCTCTCGGAGAGGACCTCCGCGCGGCGCCCGTGATGACGAGCCGCAGCCGCGCGGCGCCGCTGCGCCGCCGCTTCCGCGGGGGCCGTGCCATGGCGCCAACATCGCCGAGCGGGCTTCGCTCGGAGAACGATCGGATGGGCATGGAGTGCCGTGGCGAGTTGCGTTCCGGGTTTCGAGGTGAGGTTTCGCGCGGATTCTTTTTGGGGGGCCAAGGATGCATATTCAAAAAAAAGAAACACGCGGACATACCCCGCTTTTCACTCGCCGCCTCGGGGTTCTGCATTGGCAGAAGTCCCCGCGAGAATCCGCTGCAGCGCGTCAGCAAGGTCGGTGCAGTGAGCCGTGGGGTCGTCCTCTCCCCGGTGGCCGTCGGCCGTCGAAGGCCTGCTGCTGGAGGTTCGAGATTTGAGAGTGTATCCAGGTGTATGGGACTGTGATGTTCCAACCTACTTCTGTTGGCCTCGTTCGCCGGGAAGAAGCTCGAGCACCAGGAAGAAGGATTGGAAGATTCGCACGCTTTCGGGCCCTGCGGAGGCGATTTGTCGCTCGGCGCCGCTTCGAGATACTGTTGCGAGGGGGGCTCGAAGTCATGTCTGGGATGTGGTCCTCAAGCACCCAGAGATCCGATGTCGTGATTTTTTCAATGCGGGGTCTCCAGAAGTCTCGACCCCTTCCCAGGACCGGGTTTGCATCCTGAGTCGTTTTCTGACGGTCCTGGGGCCCGGCGAGGGCTCCCAGCGGCCGAACATAGCGCACCCCCCCCGTCGCGATTTTTTCAATGCGTTCGATCTCTGGGCACGACGGGAGCAGCACAAGTCTGGAGGCGTTCGTGGGGCGTCGCGGGGGCATCGCCGCGTCCTCCTAGGCGCCGCGGCCTCCGCGGCCGCCGTCGGGGCCGTTGCGTGCCGTCGGCCCTGGAAGGCCCGGGATGGAGCGTCGAGGACCGTGTGGTTTTCGGGAGTGAACAAACACACAGACACAATGAATCGTCGATTCCCCAGAAAATCGGGGGCGGAAAAGAGGGTGGTGATGACTAGGGGGGGGGGGGATATCATGGCGGGGGCCATGATATCTCCCCAAATTTTCGGTGCCTCGTCTTATTTCATTACGTCCCTGGCCCCCCCGCTGGGCCGCGCACATGCCGCCGGTCACGATTTGCACCCCCCCCCTCTTGGACACCCCCCTCTTGGCCGCTCTCGAGAAAATCTGCGACAATATGGGAGATGGGGGGGAAGACGAAAGCCCCAAAAACATGGGAAAGCATGGGGAGTATTTTTTTGTTTGTGGGTGTATGTATTTGTGTGTCCTGGGGCCCCTTCAGATTTTGGGCGTGCTGCTGCCGCCCGCCAGCTGCTCATCGTCGAATTCTTCCGCGTCGGAGCGTCCTTCCTCTCGTCGGCCTCCCCCCTCCCTCCTTGCACGCCGGCCATTTTGTTGGTCAGTGCCCCTACCTAGCTGTTACGCCGGTGCGGATTTCGCCGCCTCGCCGCTTCCGGAGGAAGTGTTTTGGGCGTTGGGGGCGCTTTGGGCGTCTCGGGGCCTCCGGGGCGCTTCCCGCTGCGATGGGTGGGCTCCCCTCGGAAGCTCTCTGGCCGCGGACGCCGCGGCGGCCGTCGCCGTCGTCGCCGCCGTCGTTGCTGTCGCCCTCGCCGCCGCTGCCGCCGCTGCCGCCGTCGCCGTCGTCCTCGTCCTCGTCCTCGTCCTCTTTTTCGTCCTCGTCCTCGTCCTCCTCTTCCGCCTCCTCCTCCGCCCACCCCCTCCTCTTCCTCCTCTGCTCCTCCTTCTCCTCCTCGGCCTCGTCCTCGTCCTCCTCTTCGTCCTCGTTGTCGTCTTCCTCGTCGTCGTCCGTGCCGTCGTTGCCCGCAGGATCTAGGAACCCGGCGGCGCCCCCGAGAGGGAGTGGCGCGAGGGGGGCGGCCTGTTTCAAGAAGGCGCAGTGGCTTCTCAGAGGGGCAGGGGCCTTCTCAGAGGGGCCCGGCGGCATCCAAGAAGCCTTCTGCCCAGACCCCCTCGCGCTGTGATAAACAACAAAAACTCAATGGGAGGTTTTTCGTTAGTTTCTGCCTCAGGGGGCCCTTACCAGGCCTCGGGGCCATCAGAAAACGACTTGGGATGAAAAACCGCTCCTGGGGAAGGGGTCCAGACCTCTGGGGGTCGACGTTGCGACAAAAATCACGACGTCGGGGGTCTGGGTAAGAAGCCGCCAGGGCGTTGTAAGCGGGCCCCTGCCTTCTAAGAAGCCCCTCCGCTTTCAAAGAAGCCCAACCACATCGCGCGCCACTTTCTATGGGGCGCCGACTGCGAACGAGGTCCAAGGATTGAGGCTGCATGATCACGGTTCTGGCGTCCTCGTCCGGGGCGCCGCCCGTCGCCGCGGCGAGGTTTTCCTCGCAAGTCTGGCCAAGACGTGCCTCAGGGGAGGTCCGGGGGTCGTCGTCGTCGTTTTCGTCGTCGTCGTCGTCGTCGTCGTCGTCGTCGTCGTCGTCGTCGTCGTCGTCACTTGGGCGAGTTTTGTTTTGACGCTTCGAGCTTCAAAGGGCCGCAGAGGCCTCTGGAGGCCTCTCCGGGGACGGCCTTACTGCAGCGGGCCGTCGTCCCAGGTCGCAGTCCCGTGCCGTGCGCACAGAGGAGTCGTCCTCTTCCTCCTCCTCCTCCTCCTCCTCCTCCTCCTCCTCCTCCTCCTCCTCCTCCTCCTCCTCCTCCTCCTCCTCCTCCTCCCCCTCCTCCTCCTCCTCCTCCTCCTCCTCCTCCTCCTCCTCCTCCTCCTCCTCCCTCCTTCTCCTTCTCCTTCTCCTCCTTCTCCTTCTCCCTCCTCCTCCTCCTCCTCCTCCTCCTCCTCCTCCTCCTCCTCCTCCTCCTCCTCCTCCTCCTCCTCCTCCCCCTCCTCCCCTCCTCCTCCTCCTCCTCCTCCTCCTCCTCCTCCTCCTCCTCCTCCTCCTCAGTGCACCTTCCGGGTTCTCAGAGAACCACGAAGTCCAGACTCCGTCGATTCCAAGATGGCAAAGAGGCCGACCAGAACGGCTTACAAAACGCTCCAACACGCCATTGCCCATCGGTTGTTCACGGTGTGGGCCCCCGGAGTTCTCGACCGCCGCCGCGTGCCGTTTCCTCACCATCTTGAAAGGGGGCGCGACAGTGGAAACCCTTCCAAACCCGAGCATCGGCCAGTGTGACCCAGGCCATGCCGCTGGGGACAAGGTCGGGGGCCTTGAAACGGGGGTCAATGCAAACGGGGGTCAGCCAGGGCACCGTATCCTGCAGGATCCTGGGAAGATCCCCTCTGGCTGACCCAGGTTAGTGAGCCGCTCGTGGCCGCGAGGCGGCCGCGCATATTGGCTGACCCGGTTTGCGAAGATCTGCGTTGCAATTGTTTCTACTTGCATTGCAGGCTTTTGGTTTCTTGCTGACCCGGGTCTGGATTGACCCGGGCTGGCAGACCCCCGACGAGGGTCGGATCGACGAGTCGCTCAGAGGAGCAGCTGCTCGTCCGGATCTCTCTGGCGAGGCGCCCTTGGGCGGCGGCCAGCGCCTGCTCTCCCAGACGAGGGCCGCGCCGCGCCGCCGATGCGGCGGCGAGGCGCCCCGCGGTCCCGGGGCCCTCGTTGCCGCGCCCCGGCGGCGCGGGCGCATCGCCCTGGTGTGCATCGCCGGTGCGGTGCGGCCCTCACCTCGGCGGCGAGCGGGGGGGGGGAGATGTTAGGTCGGGCTGGTCCTCGACGGGAGGAATCTTTCTCGAAGATAATAGAAATATCGTCTGGGAACGGTCTGTCGATCATGTTAACCAATTGTTCTTCCAGCGTCCGCCTGTAGGAGGAATGCCCGACCTAAGGGAAATGACAAGGGACGGCCTTCTCGGAAGGCGGCGGGGCTTCCCAGAAGGCCTCGCGCCTTCTGAGTAGGGTTCCGTGCCTTCGGCGGGGAAGGCTCGGAACACTTCTCGGAAGGCTTGGGGACTTCCGAGCCTGCTGACCGGGGCTCAAGACATGGGGGTCAATGCAAACGGGTGTCAGCCAGAGCGCCTCGGATCTGGCAGGATCCTGCAGGGCCAGGGGTGCGCTGACCCGGGCTTCGGTGCAGGATCCCGTAGGATCTAGCTGGATCCTTCGCGTTGACCTGGGTTGATATTGCAGGATCTTGCAGGGTCTCGCAGGACTCTGCAAGGCCGGACTGACCCGGGTCTGGATTGACCCGGGCCTGGAGATCCCTGATCCGAGACGACCCACCCCTTTCTCGCTTACCCCCATGCCTCGCCGTCGATCCCTGGCCCCCCCTCCTCTGGTCGCGGAGGCCTCGGCCTTCCCCCTGCTGTCCGCGGCGAGCGACGTGGGGATAGGAGGAGGAGGAGGAGGAGGAGGAGGAGGAGGAGGAGGAGGAGGAGGAGGAGGAGGAGGAGGAGGAGGAAAGCCCATTTGGCCTCTGGCGGGCCCGCCGATCCCGACCGATCCATCGGGGTCGGTACCGCCAGCCGCCGCCCGATCGCTCCTGCGGTAGGCGGGGCGCTCGATCGGCCAGCCCGCGGGGCGGGGCTGAAGCGTGCCGCGCGCCATACCGCGGCAAGGGGGCCACCGTCGCCCCCCTGCCCCCTCGCCGCGGGAAGCGGCGCCTGCGGCCGCGGCAGCGGCACCCTCGGCAGCACGCCGCGTGGCTGGACAGCCGCGCCAGCGCCCGCGTGGCATCGCCGCTTGAGGGACAAGCGCGGAGAGGCTCGTCTCCTACTACGACTGGCAGCGGCGAGGGAGTTGCTCTGGGAGCACCGCTCGGCGCAGCAGCACCAGCGCAACCAGCAGCGCAACGGGAACCAGCAGCACCAGACCAACCAGGGCACAATGCCGATGGCACCGTGGCAGGGATGGCAGTGTATGAACAACAGGTGCAGAGCATGGAACGCGGATGCTCAGTGGTGGTGCAAGTGTGGTCAGCCGTGGAATGGCAAAGTGCGAAGCTGTAAGAAGATCGACGGAGACAACACGAAGCGGAACACACATAAAAATAAGCAGGACAGGGCCATCCAAGACGTGATCAAAGCCACGGCACCATCGACGGACCGAGAAGCAAGGACCAATAAGAGATACGAGGGCCCTCCGACGGACCACGAAATGCTGCGCGCCTTCAAGCACAAGGCGGAGAAGGAGATGAGGATATTAGCAGGGATTATAGTAGCCAAGCGCCAGGACCAGCAATCTGTCATGCAGGAGGCCAGGGACATGGCGGCCCTGAAGCACATGAAGGTGATAACGCAACCTGCGAAGAAGAAGATGCACGAGCTCCGAGCAACTCGAGACCGACTACACGGGAAGCTGGCGTCCCTGAGAAAGCAGCACAAACAGACGGATGAAGAAATGCAGAAAACGGAGAGGGAGCTAAAGTTGGCGATCAAGCATCTGACGGAGCAAGAAGCGATCGCCGACGAGGACGAGCTGGAAATGGCGGACATCTCCAGCTCCGAGGACGGCAGCACGGACAGCGAAGCCAAACGTGCAGAAGAACAGGGGAGGAGGACAAAAGCAGAGGACGACGAGCACATGAGAAAGAACAGACAAGAAGCAGAGGAGAACAATCAGAGAAAGACGAAGCAGGAGAAGGACAAACAGAAGGAACGTCAGAAGGAGGACGATCGGAGGAGGATGGAAGAAGAAGAAGAAGAATAAGGAAGGATTAGGACAAGCAGGGAGGAAATCCAAAGAAGGAGAGAAGACAAAGATACTATATAATCAGAGCGACCAAGCTGGAGGAAGAGAGAAAAAGGGAAAAGAGGAGATGGAGAGGCATATCAAGCAGCTTGTTGAGATGAACAAGGAGATGGCGGACAAAGTAAAGGAAGGGACCAACAGAGCCATGACAGCAGAGGCAGCTGGACAGGAGCAGTACAACGAATACGCACAGAAGGTCATGGAGCTAAGGCGCACACTGGAACAGCAACAGCGTGGGCAACAAGGGAAGCACAAACAGATGCAGGACACGACGATCCAGGCATGTGCCCAAATGAAAAAGATGCTAGAATAGAGGAGACAGGAACAGGAGGACATGGAGAACAGGCTGAAGCAGGGCGATGACGCACGCAGGAGAGAAATACAATCGATGCAGGAACAGCATAGGAGAGAGGCGGAATACATGCGTGCACAAGCTCAAGGATGGCAGAACACCTCACAAGCAGACTACGCCCGACTTGCCAACATTGCCATGGAGGAAAAATACAACAAGAAGCAGAGCAGCTGATGAAGAAAGAAGAACAGGAGAGACACCGGCAGGAAGACATCTGGAGGCAACAAACATGGCAAGAACCACAGTGGGCAGCACAGGAGCAGATGAAGAGGGGCGCCAAAGTACAGGAGCTCGCGCAGCAAGCGGAGGACGCAAGAAAACAGGAGGAGGCGGAAAAGCCGCAGCGTCAAAGGAGGGAGGGGATGAGGACTTGGGACGAAGACAAAGAGGAGCATATAAGAAAAAACAACTTCGGACCACAGAAGCAGCCAGAGCTCGACTCTACAGAAGAGATCTAGAGGCAGAGGGAGCTCGAGAATGAAGAAATTAACAGGCAGGCAAAAGAGCAGGATATGGAAGAGATAAAGCACAACAGTGAAGAAGCAGCAGACGACTACGAGAAGCAGACTGACGAGATGCTCAACCCTGCGATGCCGATGCATGGGCCAGACGCAGACGAAGAAGGCGCATGGTGGGATTGGGAACAACAAAGGTGGAGGCCACAAAGCGAATGGAGCCCGACGCAGACGCAAGGGACAAGAGACTGGTACCAGGAGATAGGCAAAGAAGACGACTACGAGTGGCATTGGCAGCGCAGACAAGAGGAGGAGAGGCAGCAGCAACAGGCAAAAGAAGAGGAACGACGAATGGCAGAAGAAGAGAGATGAGGAGGAGAAAAGAGGAGGCTGAAATGGAAGGCCAGAGCTTGCAGCAGGCGGGCCATGAAGCGATGCGCACAATAGGAGCCCCCCCCTCTCCCAGGTATACATGCCAGGAAAAAGAAGGAAGGGGAAGAGGACGTGGGGGGTGCAAAAAAATGAAGAGGAGGAACACAATGGAGACGACATACGCGAGGAGGATGAGATAAGCAAGACGGCCACGATGAATCCCCAGTGTCAAGTGGCGAAAGATGAGGAAGAGGGGGGATGCATCCAGGTCCCAGAAATGCAGCGAGGCCGAGGGTGACACGGAGCCAGCAGACACAGAAGCGGAGGAAAGGCATAACGAGGCGAAGCAGTCAAGGAGAAGGGCCAGGACACAGTTCTTTGCACTAACACCGCCCAGGCAGGTAGACAGCGCGGAGAGCGCGGCAAGAGGACCTGCAAGGCAGAAGACACATGGCGGCGAGGATAGCGTTGAGGACCTGCCCAAGAGATGGGATTTCAGGGCCCGCCCCCGGCCTCCTCAATCATGGGGGAGGGGGGGGGGGGTCGGGGGCAGCGCAAACAGACGCTGGCCCCCAATAGGGAGCACGTGAACGAGCAAGCTCAGACTCACACCGTGAAAGGCAGCGACATAGAGCGGCGGCGTGCCCGAGCTCGACATCGCCAGCTACTTCGACGGCAGCGAGCTGCTCATCGAAAGGATGCAAGAACACCGATATCGAATTCGAAGGTGACAAACAATTTTGGTAAGAATTCATTTGGCGAGGACGATTGCAGCGAGGCTGGGAGCCATGGGGACTGCGCCAGCATCGGCGACCTGCAGGACGGAACGCCTCGGCCTCATGGTCTGGGCAACGGCGACGCGACCACAGTGGGCAACCTACAAGAGGGGCGCGAGCACAGGCCTGACCACGCAATGGCACCGAGACGACCTGCAACAGTCAGGGAACAGAGGCAGCTGGACCTCGACGTAGATAGATCGCGCATTAGTATGGGGCTCGGCGGCGACAGCGAGAGGAACACGAGCGGCGACATGGGGGGCGCGAAGAGGCTGCATTCAGGAGGTGGAGGGGGCCGGGAGGGCCCACATGTTGACATAAAAGACGAACGGGGGGAAGAGCAGCTCCGAGATCCGCAGCACAGGGCACCAAAGGACTGACCAGAGGAGGCATGGATGGCACGGCGGCAACCGTTAGAACTACGGAATGACACAAGCGACATGGATTTGCACGACTTCGCGGAACTTGCCATACGGATGTGCCCGACAGACGAGAAGCAACCGAACACCATCCACATGCATGCAAATGGAGTTGCTACGACACGAAGCCAGAGGGTACGTCGTGGTCAATCGCCATCACCAAGCAAACAATGGATGGGTTCAGCTTCTTGGGATATTTGGCGGGGACGGCAAAGAAAGGTCGCAATGATCGAGCAGGAGGGAACACCAAACCACAACACTGGCGAGCTGACCGCTTTACTGTGGGCATCTGTGGAAGCATGCGCAAACTATAAAGAATACGAGGTTCACGCGCACACACGGGTTGCGAAGCAGCACGTGCAGCAGCGGATGGTACCTTAGCTATCGCAACTGACTGTGAACTATCTCGGCTGACGGCGCTGACAGCGGCAGAAGTGGGCAGAGGGTCGAAAGTGATCAGTCATCATGTAAAGGCGCATGATGGACACCCCTGGAACGAACATGGGGACTCGATAGCAAAACAAACGCGGCTACTGCGGGGCCAAGCCTTCCAGAAGGCGTGGGCGTCATCATCAGCAGGCTTACCTATCGACAAGATGATGAATGGAAAGTACTTGCGGGCAGACAACACTCAGACAAAAAATGCATACCCGAATATCAACACAGCGGAAGAAACGGCGATGGAGAAACACGGATGGATATTCGAGCATGAACAACAGAGGACCGACACAACACGAGCAGAACCAAATTGGGCAGTGAAGAAAGGACGGCCGCAGGCACAGGCCAACGAGAAGAAGAGCGAGCGTGGAGCCCACAAGAACACTATGTTCGAGGTCAAGATCGGGGCGTACAACGTGATGGCCATGGGAGAAGACGGACACTACGATGACCATGGGCGGGCAAGCAAGCAGCCATTCAGAGGGAGACTCGCACGGCTGCAGATGATACAGTGTGGCCTACACACCTTGGGGGTACAGGAAACCAGACAACCATTTGGAACAACACGGATGGATGGATGCATATTACTATCAGGCGGAGATGTCGGCGGAAAGCTGGGATGCGGAGTACTGTTCAATTCGACCGAGCCATGCGCATGCACAAGGTCAGGAGTCAAGTATCTACAGATATCACACTTTCGTCAGTTACATGCAGGCCCAAGAAGGTACATTGTACGACTCAAGGCTCAGCTGATAGAGGAAGTAATAGGTATCTTCCACACGCCACATCACGATCTCAAGAAGAAGGGATGCGAAGAATGGTGGAAGGAGACCAGGCGGCTGCAAGATACGTTCAAGTGTACGATCGTACCGTTGGGTGCAAACGGTGAAGTAAAGCAGAGCGATGGATACGAGCATATTGTTGGAAACTTCGGAGCGGGCAAGACGGATGAGAACGTCGCGGAATTATTGAAATACGCCCACGAGAACGACCTCATAGCAGCGGCCGCACACTACGACTCTGAGGAAAAGTACACTTATGTATACAGCTACAGGCCCGACAAGGAGAACAAGTCGAGCGAGTGGAAGACGACCCTGAAGCAGATAGACCACGTACTGTTGGGGCGACACCTCTTTGACGCGGTGGCCAACGTGGCGACGCTGGCAGACTGGGGCAACGGTGCCAAACACCCAGATCACATACCAGTGGTATTGGAAATATGCGTAGAGGGCAAACAACCAAGTGGAACAAGTAAGAAGAAAATAGCTCGATCTCAGGAGGTTGGAACAGAAGGAAGTAATACGCAGATGTCAGATGGAACCGGGGGCTTCGATGATGCCAGGCTGGGAGGCGGGGTCAATGAGCATTGCGAGTTTGCTACATAACAATACAGACAGCTCTCAGAAAAGTATTTTGCGTAGGACAAGAAACCGGCAATCAAACCTTACATGCCTCGAAGAACAATGGGGCTGGTCAGATTGAGGCGGCATGTGCAACGTGCAATGAAGAGATATTTTACGGAGAAGCCTGGACCCTTTACTTTATCAGGACGACACCTTCCAGGGCAACTTGAGGAGCTGGCACCAGAGGATGCAGAGTGGAGAGCAGACGCGAACAACCTACAGCTGGCGACCGACACATACAGCGCGGGAGTGATAGGACTGGACAGGATGGCATGGAGGGCGAATGCGTTTCTCAAAGAAACCAAGAAACACGTGAGACGAGCACTTAGAGAAGACATGGCGAAGCTCATCAGTGACACAGCGGCCGAAATAGCGGACTACTTTCAGCAGAACAGACACGAGAGAGAATGGAACAAAGTGGACATGATCCTCAAGATGAGCGGCAGGGGCAACAAGAAGTTTGCTGGAGGAGGACGACTACCACTTAGAGCAAACGTCAAAGGAGAACCAGCTCAACCACAAGAAGAAGAGGACGAGGCAATGCGGAGGCTGTTTGCAAAGGCTGAGGACGCGGACACCATGAGCAAGAAAGAGGTGAAATAACTATACAACAAAAGAGAGCACGACTGCGCGGACACCTTCATATGCAGGACATCGGGGCCGCCCCCACCATGTATGAGATACAGCGGAGCTGCAAGACAGCCAAACGGAGACGGGCAGCTGGACCAGACGGTATACTCGACGACGTACTAAGAGCCACAGCCAAGTCCTCAGCGAGATGGTGGCACACAAAAATTACACCGCATGATCAGAGATGCGCAAGTTGGAGGAAGAAGGAGGATGGGGGCACCGATGGCTGGACGTCTCATCAGGACGGCGGCATCATTCATTGCAAAGAAAGGCATGTCAACATTCATGGTGTATGTGGATTTGAAGAACGCTTTGTACATGATTATTCTGTCAATGGGAGCTGCAATGAACCATTCCGAGGAAGACATAGAGGAATACTACAGAGAAGCACGATACCACAACAGTTCCGACCGCTGCTGGCAATAGCACTAGCAGCACCACCAGCTGCACAAGGACCACATGCCCCAGCACCGCTATGGGTAATGCTATCAGAGCCGGCCAGGGTTACATGGTACCACCCACCGACGACGGAATTGGCAGCGGTGGCAAAGCGAGGGGCAAGAGCAGGACATTAAATTGCTGATTTCTTTTTTCAATGTTATATACCGGAAGCTGCTGGACGAGATCAACGAACACATGAGGGAGATGGGGCTGCTGCAGAATATTGGCCATGAAGTAGAACGTACGTATACCAACGAGGAGGACATAACCACAGAGACCACGGATGTTAGCTACGTCGACGACACAGCACGACCTACGGTGGTTGGAGACAATCAAAAGATATAAGAACACATGCAGACGGTATTCACCCCAGTTCACATCACAATGATAAGCTACGGATTCGAGCTCAACTACAATCCGTAAAAAACGGCGGCGACGTCATCTGGCAGGGCCAAGCTTGATGGAGGCAAAGCGGAAATCAAAAACAGAAGGAGGCGTGAAGGTGAACGTCTAGAGCATAAACGAGTCGGTGACGGTGGTGGCAGCCTACAAGCATCTCGGGGTGGAGCAAACTGCGGACAACACATGGCGACCAGAGATACAGAAGCGCGCCATATGCCACAAGCAGGAAATGAAGAACCTGAAAACGATATGTACGAACCCAAAGATCATAGCAAAGGGCAAGCTAAAGCATACGAAGAGCTACGCGAACAGCGAGCTATTATGGCAAAGCGAGACATGGCTGCCGATGCCCAACATGGCACCAAAAATTGCAGAGGCAGCATATGGAAAAGGTATCAGACAAGCAGTGGGGCAAAAAACCAGACCGAAAGAAGCGCGCACGACGGAGCCGACCACAGGCAAGGAGTTGTATGCGAAGGCAAAGACTGGGAACTTATCAATATTCCTCCGACAACGGCGGCTACAATTCTTGATAGCAATCATCACCAGCGGTCCATCGATATTAGGACGCGCGCTTGACGATCGGGATACGATCACGAGAACGAGATTTTGGGCGTCTATGATAGAGGAGGCTTATTATGGCTGGCAGAACTTACCGACGCAAATATGGAACACAGAAAAGGGAACAACATAGAGTGGATTCAAAGGGTCAGAAACGACGGCAAAAGAGTACGACCGGAGATGCAGAGAAGCGTGGGGGAAGCAGATGAACAAAGACGCGGACGAGGCAAACGAAGACAAATGGAAAAGAAATTGGCAGACATTCTTGCAACAAATGGCAGTCAAACCATGGGGGGAGACAGAACAATATGTGCAGTATATATGCTGCGAATGCGGTTTTACAACAGCGGAGATTGGGGCGCGGAGGCGGCGCAGCAAGAAACCTATGCCAATAGACACAGCGCAAAGATACGCCACCAACTCAATGTGCCAGTCATGTGGAGAAGATTTTCAAACAAGACCGCGATTGATAATACACTTACGGCACATATGCAGGCGATGTCTCAGATGGCACAACAAACTTCAGCAGCCCATGCAATATGACGAGGCCGTGGAGATGTACGACAGGGACATCGAGGAGACAAGGAAAATGACACAACGAGGGCACATGCCTGAGAAAACATTGATACCATGTACCAAATCGGACGGGATACAACATGGCGAAGATCAGGGAGACGATATGGGCGGAGCTGCAATGAGCCAGACGAGCGACGACATGCAGGTACCGCGGGTGCAGGCAAGAGGAGAATGGATGGAGAGAGCTACGGAGATTCCCGACATGGCGAACCAGAACCAGCAGTATGTGCTGTATGCGACGTCGGCCAGAAGAAAAAGATGCTACATGGACGCCATGGAGCAGGATATCAACAAGGCAGAGAACACGGAGGATGACTGCAGCAAGATCGGCATGGCCTGCATCCAGCTGAACGAGGAGATGATCAGCGAATGGAGAGACAACGTCGACAAGGGCATCGTGGCAGTGGTGATCATAGAGACACCGATGTGCACACAGACCGCGGAGTGCAGGGACGATGACACACCATGGGGAACATGGGCGGCTACAACAAGAAGGAGAACGATGCTGATCGATGAGAACGAACAGGTACGACATGGAATACTGCTGGCGGGCCACGCGGCGCTGCAGAAGATCCCCGTGGTCCTCCAGGTTAGGCCACCTTTCGCGAGTACGCCAGAGGTGACAGAGCTTCGGGATCTGGCAGCCTGCCAAATGCTGGAGCTCAGGGAAGTGATGAGCAGTTTTAGGGCACGGGCACGCGCGCACTACTGACGGCCAACCTGCCAGGGGTATGCGACGAATGCCAAGTCAGACCAGAGAGAAGTCTAGCGGAATGTATAGTGAAGTTTTGGGGGGAAGACACAGGTAGTCCAGGGAGCCCAAGGACTCTGGACCCGACTGGGTTGCTTTTTGGCCCCTCGACCCCTACCCCTCCCAGGACTAACGGTTGCCTCCGAATGGAGGGCGTAGTATGCCGCTAGAAGCGAGAACTATGCGAGGCGGAGTCGGTAGTGATTGGTCACACCACCGACTCCAGTGCAGCTGCACACCCCTTGCCTCTGGGGGCCTGAACCTCCCTTTTCTCCCATTCGGCACCGATCGATTCGATTTCCTCCCTCGTCCCCCTCTCGCCGAGCGAACCGCCCGCGAGTGGCCGCCGCTTGCCGCCGCCGCTGCTGGCCGTGCAGCCGGCCTTGCCTAGCGCACTCTGCAGCGGGTGCCGCGGCACCCGTATCGGGGTGCGGTCGGGCTCTTCCCGAACCGTGCGGCGACCCGCCCCGTGCGCTGGGAACAGAACAGGAGGAGGAGGAGGAGGAGGAGGAGGAGGAGGAGGAGGAGGAGGAGGAGGAGGAGGGAGGAGGGAGGAGGAGGAGGAGGGAGGTGGAGGGTGAGGAGGAGCAGGCCCTCGCCGAGGGCGGCGGGAGACCTCTCGGGAGGCCTCCGCGGCTCTCGGGCGTCCTCGGGGGAGGCTCGCGGGAGACGCCCCGCGGTGGCCTCCGAGGCTTCTCGGTGTCTCTTCCTCGAGGCTGGGGGACTTCCGGGCCCTCGGAGCCGGCCCGTGGCGGCCTCGCAGGGCGGCGGGGGCTGTGCAGATCCATCGCCGGTTCTCCCCTGTCCTCCTCCTCCTCGATCCTCCTCGATCCTCCTCCTCCCCCTCCTCGATCCTCCTCCTCCTCCTCCTCCTCCTCCTTCTCCTCCTCCTCTTCGGACCCTTTGATTCGTCGTGGGCTCGCGCTGCCCCCTCTGAATTCCACGCAATGTCAGCGCGAGGGTGCTCATGCCATGCACGGTGCTGCGCTCGCGCTTTTAAAGCACGTTGACCTGGTGAGAGGAGCCGACGCGCCGCGCTCAGCTAGCTACTTGCGCTCCTCCTCGTTCTCGAACCCTCTCGACTCTCGACCTGGGCGGCCTTCAGGTGGGCGCACGGGCCCAGGAAGATGATCTCAGAATCGGCCCCTGGACCTGTGCTGGAGCGCTTCCTGACCAGGACCTCGAGTCGGATCCAGCCGAGGCGACGCGAGGGACCCTCGAATGCCGTGAACAGAGTCATCGTAAACGTTGTTGTCGGTTGGGCGCGCGATCTGGCTGGTATCCTGTTGGCGCGTGCTGCAAGGCACTGCAAGGGTTGTCTCCGTGGGCCTCCGCGGAGGCCATTGGAGGTCTTTGGAGGCTCCTGGAAGCCTCTCGAGACCGCAAAAGGGCCACATACGATCAGCCAAATCTTGATCCGTTCGATCCTCGACCAGAGATTCGACACCCTGTGTTTTCCGATGCGGGGTCTCCAGAACTCTCTCTCTCTCTCTCTCTCCTCAGCTCTAAGCTCTGATTGTCCCGGGGCCCGGCGACTTCCCCTAGAGGCCGCAGACTGCGAAGCGGCTCCGTCTCGCTCTTGCGTCCTGGCATCGCTCGGACGTGTGCGTTGTGCCTCGGCGAGGACCATCGAGGAGCATCCCGGATCACCGAGCCCCCCCCCAAAAAAAACAACAACGCGAGCGCACGGGGAAGGGCCGTCCGAGCGAGGCGGCGAGGTGCTTCCCTGCGCATGGCGTGGGGGGGGCGGGGGGGAGGGGCGGGCCGCAGCGGAGGGGGCGGCCCTCCCGCCGGGCGGCGCGGCCCCCGCACGCAGGATGGTCCCGCTGCTCCACGAGCTGCTCAGGGGGCCGGCGAGGCGGTCGCCCTCGCGCAGCCCCCGCCGCGGCGCGCGCGCTTGCGCGTGCCGGCCTTCGCGCCCTCGAGGGGGTGCCTCCTCCTCCTCCTCCTCCTCCTCCTCCTCCTCCTCCTCTCCTCTCCTCCTCCTCCTCCTCCTCCCCCTCCCCTCCCCCTCCCCCCCCCTCCCCCTCCCGCCCTTTCGCGTGGGGGCCTCGGCGGGGGCCCCTCCCCGATCCCCACCCGCCAAGTCCCCCCCCCCCCAGGCCAGCCCAAAGGTTGGGTCGGGCCTGTCCCTCTGCAGGGGGGATCTTCAAAGTAGTAGTCGACAACACAGCCTGGGGGCTATCTTGTGAGTATTTTGGGGGCATGTTTTGAGTATGTTCTCAGTTTTTTTTAGTTTTCGTCCAAAGTCCCCCTGTAGGGGGACAGGCCCGACTTAACCCAAAGGCCCCAAGTTGCCCTCCATTCCCAGTTGGGGGGGGGAGGGCGGGGGGGTCGTGGAACCTGGGAGAAAGTACAGGTGGAGCCCGCCCTCCCCCCCCCCCCGAACCCCATGTTCGGGTCTTCGGGTGGAGGTGGGGGTGGTCCGGTAGGCAGTCGGCCCCACGGCGGTGGTGGCGCACAGCGCCGCGTGACGCCGATGTCCCCAGGCGCAGCTGTCCTCTCACGCTGGGCGACGATGCGCTGCCAGACAGCTGTACTGTATGTTGGAGTCGGGCGTGCGTCTCCAAAAGGGGCACGTGGCGTCAAGTTTTTTTTGTTCTGGCAGCTGCCACTTCACGCACTCCACGTAAAGAGTACGCGCAGCTGCTACTTCACGCACTCAACGTAAGGAGTACGCGCGGGAAAAAACTCGTTCACCATGACCAACACGTCGCGGGATCCTGTGGACGCCAATCCTGATCGTCATGATTACTGGCCGTCACCGTTCCGCGAGGATGAGGAATGACCGAGATCCATATCGACGTTTCAGCGTTTAGTTTTGTCGTCGTGTCCATCGTTTCTTTCCTTCAGAAGCAGCGATGTTTTTCCGATCTCGGCCTCTGGGGTCCCTCGCCCTGCACCAGGACCGTCAGCAAAGACATCCAGGGATGGAAAGCTGGCGCTCGGGGGAGGACCGAGATTTACGGGGACCCCGCGTGGAATAAATCACGACGTCGCATCTCTGCGATCCCGCCGAAAACGTATTTCTGTTGTTGCAGTTCTCGGCTTCGGGCGGCCGTCTCCAAGTCTCCAGGCCGCCAACCTGGGGACTTTTCCTTCTGACGGTTTGACATGCTCACAACCTCCAAGAGGTATTCCGTGACATGGTCATGGTGCCATTACACAGCTATGTGTGCCAAGAAGTTATCCGAGTTCTCAATCAGGGGGGGGGCGGGGGGGAAAAAAATTGGGATTAGCTCGGGCCCACGATGATCACGCCGCTACAAAAAGGTCCGCGACGATTTTTGAGAGCGCCAGGATGGCACGGGCTTCGGCCGGCACTCCCGCGGGAGCGGGAGGGCGGATAGCTGTATGGCCTCCGCGTTCCCCCATTTCTGATTAATTCAAGCTTCGCGCGGCCCGCTTAGCTTCGACCCGAAGAGGTGCGCTCTCGACCCGCGGATCAAAAAGCTGTGTGGTCTCCGCTCTCCCCGCTCCTCGCCCGGATCTTGGGGCGGCCTGCCCGGCGATGCCCCCCCCCTGCTCGGGCGAGGGGCCCCCCGGCGCCGGCCCCGGGGAAGGCGCTCCAGCGGGCCATGGAGGTTTTCTCCGGAGGGCTTCGGCGACCCCTCCTCCTCCCCCTCCTCCTCCTCCTCCTCCTCCTCCTCCTCCTCCTCCTCCCCCTCCCTCCCTCCCTTCCTCCTCCTCCCTCCCTCCCTCCCTCCTTCCTCCTCCCTCCCCTCCCCCCTCCTCCTCCTCCTCCTCCTCCTCCTCCTCCTCCTCCTCCTCCCTCCTCCTCCTCCTCCTCCTCCTCCTCCTCCTCCTCCTCCTCCTCCTCATCTCCTCCCTTCCCCCTCCTCCTCCTCCCCCTCCTCCTCCCCCTCCCCCTCCCCCTCCTCCCGCTCCTCCACCTCCTCCTTCTCCTCCTGGGGTTGCCTACAGCCCCAGGAGAAATTTCCGGCGCGCCCCCATGGGGATGTTCCTGGTCCTTCGGCGACCCGAGTGCCCGAGCCTCGGAGCCCGGGATCGATGTGTCCGAGCCTCGGGGCCCGGGATTCCTCCACCCCATCCCGGGACCCAGGGTTCGCTCCGATTCCTCCGATGCGGTTCGGTTCCGATGGCTTCCGATTCGGATTCGATGCCACTTCGGATTCCGATTCGGATTCCGATATCTCAGAATCAGAGTGGAGGCCTCTCAGCCTGACGATTTCCGCCACTTCAACTCCTCCCGACCTGGCTGTCGATTTCTGCAGAGCCGATCCGTTTCGATCGCCGATCCGACATACGATTCGATTCTGGACTCTCCTACCATCCCCGGTATGGCCTCCCACTCGACCAGTGGCGAAGCGCCCTGGCTTGCCTATAGGCCCACTAAAGAATATTATAAGAACCTTCTTGTGGTCTGCAATGCGTTGTCTGTGCCACTTGTTGCGCCCACTCTCCGGACAATGCCCAGCCCCCGGCCCAGCCTTGCCCAGGCGGTGCCCCAGCTAAGACCCGCCCCCGCCTGGATTGGCCCCAGGGCGGGCATGGGCCCGCGCACTGGGGCTCCTCTCCGGTCCACGTCCCAGGGTCAGCTGAGGCATCGCCCCTTCGGTGAGGTCGTCCTCGGCGCCGCTCGCGGCGGTCTGTGGGGAGAGGGCGGCCGCGTCGAGGGGGGCGGCAAGCTTCCTGGCCTTGCTTTGTTTGGGCGCTCCTCGTGTCTGCGTGGGTCCCGCGAGAGTTCATTTTATGTCGTCGGGTTTTCGGGTGGCTCCGCCTGCGTCGATCCGCGCACCAGCCGGCCGCGCCTCGATAACTACCCTTCCCTCCTCGTCCCGATTTCCTTTTTCGCTCACTGCCCCGTGCTGCTCGTGCTGCTGCCCGCCCTTGTCCTCTGGCCCCTGCCCTCGTGGCGCTCGCCCCTCTTCCTCTGGCCCCTCCCCCCCTCGGCTCCCCCTCCTCCTCCTCCTCCTCCTCCCCCTCCTCCTCCTCCTCTCCTCCTCCTCCCTCCCCCTCCTCCTCCTCCTCCTCCCCTCCTCCTCCTCCTCCTCCTCCTCCTCCTCCTCCTCCTCCTCCTCCTTCTCCTCCTCCTCCTCCTCCTCCCCTGCCCCCCCCTGCCGGCTGCGTGGCGCCGGAGGCTGCTGCTCTACCCCAAGGCGACGCACGCCGCGGCCTCGGCCCACCGGGCCCGCCTCGCTCGGCCTCGCTCGACCGATCCCCGGGCCCCCTTCCCGTCCACGCCTCGAGCCCCATTGGCGGCGAGCAGAGGGGGGTACATAGGGGGAGCGGAAGGCTTCTTAGAAGCACCCTGCTTCTTAGAAGCCCTCGCCCTGAAGGCGACGCACGCCGCGGCCTCGGCCCACGGGGCTCGCCGCGCTCGGCATCGTCCGACCGATCCCTGGCCCCCTCCCCGCCCACGCCTCGAGCCCCACTGGCGGCGAGCAGAGGGGGGTATATAGGGGGGGAGGGGGGGAGGCTTCTTAGAAGCACTCTACTTCTTGGAAGGCCCTGGCCTTACACGTATAGGGAAGGCCCGCGCCTTCTAAGAAGCAGGGGTGCTTCTAAGAAGCCTTCCCCCCCCCCTACCCCCCTCTGCGCGTGGCTGACCCCACCGTCACACACCGCCTCCGTTGGGGAATGTGCCCCTCGAGACCCGCAGAGAGTAGCCCGTATCCTGCAGTCGGGCCTGTCCCTCTATACAGGGGGGGGGTATTTTTTCAAAACAGTGAACACATAGCCTGGGGACTATTTCTTGCGCAGTTCTTGACCATTCTGGAATATTGTTGCAGCATTCGTTATCTTTCCTCGAAAATACCCCTGTAGGGGGGACACGCCCGACTGAACTGGATTCCCACCAGGGGGCCAAATCGGCCAGTGGGGCCCAGCCCACGCTGGCGGGGATGGGGATCGGCTCCACGGTGCCCACTCGCCTCCCGGGGGGCCGGGCCCTGACGCGGACGCCGGCCTCCCGGTGCCCATGAGGGCGCGAGGCCGACGGAGGGCGCAGGGCGAGAGGGCGAGGCGAGGGCTGGGAGGCCAGGAGGCCCAGAGGCCCAGCGCTCTGGAAAAGTCACGACGGAGGCTTTTCTCGCAGCGTTCGGCCTCCAGGGGCCCTCACTGTGCCTCGGGACCGTCAGAGAACGGCACAGGACACCAAAGACCGGTCCTGGGGAACATGGGCCGAGACCTCCGGGGACCCCGTGTTGAAGAGATCACGGCGTCGGAGCCCTGGGGGCCCAGAGATCCGAGGAGGTATATGGTCTGTCCAAGCCGGCGTCTCTGTCCCGGATTGTCGGCCTCCGAGGTTCGTGGTCGGGCCGCCCAGGGACCCCATCCAAAGCGGATCTGGGCCGCAGGGCCACCCCCGCGGGTGGGGACCTCTCCGGGGTCGCGGATGGAGCCAAGCATACTGCGAGAGGGCGAGTCGAAGGCTGGGAGGCCAACACACCTCGCGGATGCCTGCGAAGCTTTCGGAGGTCTGGTCGGCTTCCTCGGGTCCGGCGCGCGCGCCCCACGGGGGCGGCTCGGGAGGTGCCGCCATGCAGTGGCAGCCCATGCCCAGAACCTCCCTGCGTGCTCTGGGGTGCCCTGGGTTTCATGGGTGTCGATGGCTCTGCGATGGAAAGCGTGAAGTTCTCGTCCTGGGGTCTCGGGGTTGGGTTTCTTGTGGATGGCTTCTTGTGGTCGAGCCCCTACTGTATGGCTGCAGCGTGGGGGGGGGGGGCAGAAGGCCCAGGAGCGCCGACCCAAGCGATCTCTGCGCGGACGCCTGGCATGTCCCGACGCAGTGTGTTTGCACAGGCGTCGCGGCCCTGGCTGGCCGCTCCGGCCCGGTCACCGTGGAACTCATTCCACACCCGAGCGCCCTCCCCCTTTCCACGCTTCACGCGGCCGCCCTGGTCCACGCCAGACAGTTCGCCTTCCGGTTGTCCCGAGTTGCCACACGCTGGGGCGGACCGCCGTTGCCTCGCCGCAGGCGAAAACAAGTGCATCGTTCCCTGGGCTCGCTCCCCCCAGACCATTTCGCGCTGTGGAAAACAAACGACGGGAGGTACGGCACTCTGCATCTTCGACGTCGGGGGGCCCTTACGGGGCTCCGGGACCGTCAAAAGTCGACCCTGGATCAGACGCTGGTTCCAGGGAAGTTCGCCCCCCGGATCTTTTCGCGTGAAAAGGTCACGACGGGAGGTTCGGCACTATATCTTTGGCCTCCAGGGGCCCTTGCGGGGCCCTGGGGCCGTCGAAACACGATTCCGAATCAAAAACCAGTCCCACAGAAGAGGCCCAGATCCCCGACGTCATGATTTCTTCCTGGCGTCATCTTCAGAAGTCTGGACCCTTTCACAGGGACTGGCTTCTGCCAGAAAAAAAACCTCCCGTCGTCATTTTTTTCACTACGCCAAGAGGGGGAGGGGGAGGAGGAGGAGGAGGAGGAGGAGGAGGAGGAGGAGGAGGGAGGAGGGAGGAGGAGGAGGAGGAGGAGGAGGAGGAGGAGGAGGAGGAGGAGGAGGAGGAGGAGGAGGGAGGGAGGAGGAGGAGGAGGGAGGAGGAGGAGGAGGAGGAGGAGGAGGAGGAGGAGGAGGAGGAGGAGGAGGGGGGGGAGGAGGGGGAGGAGGGGAGGAGGAGGAGGAGGAGGGGAGGAGGAGGAGGAGGAGGAGGAGGAGGAGGAGGTGGAGGTCGGGGGCGCTGCGTGGGGGTGTCGTCGCGCGTTGGCTGCCACGTGCGGGCTTCTTCGCCCGGTCGCCCTGTGCGGGAGCCTCGTTGCCCGGGGCGGCCCGTGCGCGGGCGGATGCCTGCCGGAGGTTCGCCCCGGCGCCGGCCGTGGGGCATGCCACGGGCGGCGCCCCGTGTGCTGCCGGGGTCTCGCGGTTGAGGATGCACGCGCAGTTCGCGTGCGGCGTCGGTTCCCTCCCAGGGGCAGACAGGAAGCGGAGGCAGACATGTGCACAGGCGATGCGGAGTAGGACGAGGGGGATCGGAAGGGGAGGACGAGGAGGGGGAGGGGAGCACCCGGAGCGGACAATTGGAAGCGGGTGAACTGGCCCGAAGGCGTCTCACGGTGCATCGGCAGCTGAAGCCGAAGCCAATGCTGAAGTGCACAGAAGAACGGAAAGTTCCGACCCTGAAGGTTTGGTTTACAGCACATTTTTGAGCGATGCTGCAGCCTCCCCTGAGCACAGCCCCCCCCAGAGCATCAGCCAGGCTTGTTGGGTTTGCACCCTCATGCCTTGCTTGACTCTGGGTGCTTTCGGCACTGCCACAGCCGTCGTCACCCCCTCGTCAGGGCCACCGATTCCGGGCACGGCGACAGGTGGCGGTGGCCCACGCGTCTAAGCTTGGCTGCGGGCAAAGCCAGACTGCGAGGAGTTCGAGATCCTCTGAGCCGCACGAGGGGACCAACATCAGCAGCAGGGAGGGGAGGCCAAACAATCGGAGAGAGCAAAACAAGGAGGCCAGACCGACGTACGCGGAGGAGGAGGGGGAGGAGGAGGAGGAGGAGGAGGAGGAGGAGGAGGAGGAGGAGGCAACGATGGAGAAGGAGGACCAGGATGATGTGATGCGAAGGGGGAGGATCATGTAAAAGTCGGGGCAGGAAACATGACAATTGTATGGGCGTGCCCTGGCACTTCTTCAGCCAGGCGAGGTACTCACCCCAGCGGGACGTTGCGAGCAAACGCGGCAGAAGAAAAGCAGGGTGAAGAGGATGAGCAGCATGAAGTGAGGATGTAGGAGGGGGGCGATGACGAGGAGGAGAAGACAGGAGGCGGAGGAGGATGGGCAAGTTGGGAGAATCAGGATAGGATGTGGGGAACAACACGAGGAGGAACACGAGGAGGAGGAAGAGGACGAGGAGGACGAGGAAGAGGAGGAAGAGGAACAGTGGCAGCGGCAGGAAGGAGGAGGAAAGAGGAGGGTTCTCTTCCTGCTCCCATCTCCGTCCTCCTTTCCTCCTCCTCCTCCTCCTCCTCCTCCTCCTCCTCCTCCTCTGCGTTCCTCCTCTTCGTCCTCCTCCTCCTTCCTCCTCCTCCTCCGCCTCTCCTCTCGCCCCCTCTTCCCTTGGCCGGCGACGTCAGGGGGAGGGCGGGCGCCCGCCGAGGCTGGACTAGGGACCCTCCTGGCGGGCTGGTGCTTGTTGTTCGCCACCGTCATGTGTTTCTCCTTCGTCTTCATGGCGCCCGCCCTCAAGGGGGCCCCCGGCGGGCGAGGGGGCGCTCCCGCCACCACGCCCGCAGATGAAGGGCCACGGTGCTGCCGGAAGCGTCTGCTCAGCGTGTCACACCGCCGGTGCTGGCCCACCACGCTCCGGCGCGGCACGCTGGCCGCGTCCTGGACCCCATGGCGTCAACGTCCCAAGCCGTTTCCCCGCCTGCCATCCCTGCGGAGCGGGGCGGCACGATCGCCGCCCGCACGGCACGCCATGTCGCAGGGGCCGCCGCCGTGAGACGCTGAGCACAAGCTGCTCACGGTATCGGCATGGAGCCTCCTTCGTGTATGGCCAGGGCCCCGGGTAAGGGGCCCGGGCCCGGGAGCCCTCGAATTGGCCAGATTCGCTAAACCGGGTTTGCCGTCGTTGGTGTTTTTCGGGTGACGGCAGTTCCGGCTAGTGGAGATGGGGCGGGGGGGGCCCCCAGTACAAATCACTAAACCAGGTTCCACTAAACCCAGTTCTGCCAACGCCCGACTCCTGCGCCAGGACGTTCCAGCATTTGTTCGCATTGCACTCGAGAGTGGGCCTTCCGCCCGGGTGACCGTCGGTGCGGGCTCGCGCGGAGGTCTCTCGATCGCCAACTGCGATGCGTTAGCAGCGGGCTCCCCGCTTGGGTGTGCCTCCCCCCGGCCCTCCTAAAGCCGCGCACGCGGGGGTGTTGGCCTGCATGCGCTGTCGCCCTATCCTGCGTGTCGAGGGGACTTCCTTCCGGCCCTTGGACTCCTGCTGGCCACCACTCCTGCACCAGCGCCTCGTCTCCGCAGCTGCAGCGCAGACCAGACAGTCCTTCTGAGCACTCAGTGGGAAGGCCGAGCGAGCGAATCCGCCACGAAAAAAAATACACAGACGCACTCTACTGGAATGTCCCCTGCCCTCAGGGGAGGATGGCGTGTACAAATCACCACTGAGTAACAGAGACTATACACATATATATATATATATATATACAAGTGGCACGTGTGTGCCCAGGCTCATACAACAAGCTGAAGGGGCGTTTGAAGCAGGAGTGACATGCAACAGCGAAGTCGCACTCGAGCGCAAGTGGGGTTGCCACACCTTGCGATGTGTGTACCAGGGCCCCCCAGGAAGCCTCAGGAGGCCCGACTTGGATACCAGAAGAGGCTCCAGGAGGCCCCAGGATTGTGAGTGTTGTGTGTGTGATGTGTGCTTTGTGTGGTGCGTGCTTTTTGTGTGTTGTCGGTGTTGTGTGTGTATGTTATGTTTGTCTAGCGTGTGATGTGTTGGGCGTGATTTGTGTCTCTGTGTGTGCATGTAGTTCTGAAGCCCCAGGAGGCCCCAGGAGGCCCCAGGCGGCCTCAGCAGGCCCAGGAGAACTCCAGGAGGCTCCGAGGCGGGGTCTGGGGTACCAGAAGGTCCAGAAAGCCCCAGGAGGCCCCAGGAGGTTCCAGGAGGCCCCCAGGAGGCTCCGAGGAGGGGTCTGGGGCTCGATTTTGGGAGGATGTCTCAGGCGAAACCGCCATTCTCTGAGAATCGGGGTCAAAATTATTGAAATTACCATGTGTTTTTGAAGGTTTTATGTTAAAATGTTGAAAATCCTATGTGTTTTTGGACCTCTCCTTCACGATCTGCGTGAGGGGTGCCACCGATTTTCAGAATTTTGAGGATGTCCCTAGCGAAACGGCCGGGAAAATCGAAGACGCACGCACGCACGGACGCACGGACGCATTAATCCCCTCTGAGCTCTACTCCCTCGGAGAGGTGCGTATGAGAATATATATATATATATATGCACACCGTCCCCTCCCTGAAGGCACATGCGAAGTTCGTCAGAGGGCGTTTGTGTATACATTTCCGTTGCGTAGTGAGGGCCTCAGGAGGTTGAAGTGGTGGGTGAGACGGTGATGACGTTGATGGTGGAAATGATGAGGAAGTTGAGACGGAGGAGCAGGAAGAGGGGGAGGAGGAGGAGGAAGAGGGGATGGAGGAGGAGGTTGTGGAGGAGGAGGAGGAGGAGTTGGAGGACGAGGAGGAGGACGAGCAGGAGAAGGAGGACGAGGAGGAGGAGGAGGAAGAGGAGGAGGAGGAGGAGGAGGAAGGAGAAGGAGGAGGAGGAGGAGAGGAGGAGGAGGAGGAGGAGGGGAACGAGGAGAAGGAGGAGGGAGGAGGAGGAGGAGGAGGAGGAGGGAGAGGGGCCTCAGGAGGACGCGCCGCACGACCTCCAAGCGTTCAGCACACCGCGATCCTCGAGAGGAGCAGGAGGAGAACCCCCGGGGGCCGCCCGTGGCCGTCGACATAAGCCAATCTAGAGTCGCTGGGTGTGCGCGCGAGGCCCTCCTCGTCGTCGTCGCTCTCGTCCGCCCTCGTCCTCCACCTCCTCCTGCTCCTCCTCCTCCTCGTCCTCCTCCGCCTCCTCCTTCTCCTCCTCCTCCTCCTCCTCCTCGTCCTCCCCCTCCTCCTCGGTCCTCCTCCTGCTCCTCCTCGTCCTCCTCCTCCTCCTCCTCCTCGTCCTCCTCCTCGTCCTCCTCCTCCTCCTCCTCCCCCTCCTGCATCCCCTCCTGCTCCTCCTTCTCCTCCTCCTCCGACTGCTCCTGCTCCTCCTCTCCCCTCTCCTCTTCACCCTCATCCTCCTCGCCGCTCCTCTCGAGGATCGCCGTGCACTGAACGCTTGGAGGTCGTGGGGCGCGTCCTCCTGAGGCCCCTCCATCTCTTCCTCATCCTCTTCCTCCTGCTCCTGCTCCTGCTCCTGCTCCTCCTTCTCCTCCTCCTGCTGCTCCTCCTCCTCCTCCTCCTCCTCCTCCTCGTCGTCCTTCTCCTCCCCTCCCTCTCCCAGCCTTGCGTCGGGCCTGTCCCTCCGCAGGAGGAATGTCCAAGAATAGTCCAGAACTAGCCAGATGACGATCTTTCGTCTAATTATTTTGACCATCCTTGAATACGTTTTAGCCGAACTTTAATTGTTTTTCGAAGAGCCGCCTGTAAGAGGACATGCCAGGCGTAATCCCAGACCTCCGACGTCGTGTTTTCTCTCGACGTTGGCTCCTGGAGCTGCAACAGGCTCGCCAGAGAAGAAACTGGCCTGCAACTGGCCTGAAAATTTATGATCCCCTTGGTGGCCCTTGGGAGCCACAGAAGCTCTGGGACCCCAGGACCCTCGAAGACCCACGAACATCGTGACCCAAGCTTTCTCATAGCAAGATGTCTTATCGCACGCGTCTCCTGTACGGGCCCCATCTGGGCCCGGTGACCGGTTTCTGTGCCGAACGCTCAGAACGGGCCTTCACAGGGCCAAGCTCGGATATTTTTGCTGCTCTGATGCTTCTCGAAGCAGGCCCAGGTCTGGCGGAGATCTGGGCCTACGCAGCGCCCAAGGGGGAGATGAAGTCCTCCCTCGTAGTTCGGCCCCCCGGGGCCCGTGTGGCGGCTAGAAGTTCCCGGGAGACCCGAAGGTGGCGGAAGCGGCGCGCAGAAGAGCGTTGCACCCTCGGACGTCGATGAAGGGCGCGAGGGCGCGAGGAGGAGGAGGAGGCGGGGGGGGAGGAGGAGGACGAGGAGGAGGAGGAGGAGGAGGAGGAGGAGGAGCAGGTAAGAGGAGGAGGAGGAGGAGGAGGAGCAGGTAAGAGGAGGAGGAGGACGAGGAGGAGGAGGAGGGGGAAGGAGGAGGAGGGGGAGGGGGAGGGGGAGGAGGTGCAGCTCGCGTCCTGAGCGCTCCCGGGCAAGCGCCCCGATCTCCATGGGCCTCCCAGGTCGTGTCGGGGCATCGCGCCGCATATATCGCCGATGCATCGGCCATGCGGCGCGATCTGCAGGCCCCATCCACTCGGACCTCAATATGCCCAGAGATCCAGCGTATTGGAAAAAGCATGACGGAGGTTTGTTTGTAGTTTTCGGCCTCCAGGGGCCCTTACACAGCCTCGAGGCCGTCAACAAAAGTATACTAACGGAGTTCCCCACAGAAAGATATTGACGGTTTCGTAGGACCCATGGGGTACGACAACATCAACACGAAGGAGAAGCTCATCGAACGAGTAAGTACGCACGAAAGGGCAGACGAAAGAAAGGAGGAGGGAGGACAGGTGCTCAGGAAACGAAGCCTTGTAAATAGTACAGGTTTCCGATACCCTCCTCGCTCTGGCGGGGCCCCGCTGGAAGGGGGGAGGGCTACGAAACCTGGTAAAGAGTAATGCTTTCCGCGACCCTCCTCGTTCAAGCGCGGCCTCTCTGGAGGAGTGGAAGGGGGGACACGAAACCGTGTAAACTGCATTGTTTTCCGATACCCTCTTCGCTCAGGCGGGGCCTCCCTGGAGGGGTGGGAGGGCACGAAACCATGTAGATAGTATGGGTTTCCGATACCCTCCTCGCTCAGGCGGGGCCTCCCTGGTGGGGTGGGAGGGGCACGCAACCATGTAAATAGTACAGCTTTCCGATACCCTCCTCGCTCAGGCAGGGCCTCCCTGGAGAGGTGGGAAGGGCACGAAACCATGTAAATAGTATGGGTTTCCGATACCCTTTTCGCTCAGGCGGGGCCTCCCTGGAGGGGTGGGAAGGGCACGCAACCAGGTAAATAAGATGGGTTTCCGATACCCTCCTCGCTCAGGCGGGGCCTCCCTGGAGGGGTGGAAAGGGGCACGAAACAATGTAACTAGTACAGGTTTCCGATACCCTCCTCGCTCAGGCGGGGCCTCCCTGGAGGGGTGGGAGGGGCACGAAACCATGTAAACAGTATAGGTATCCGATACATTCCTCGCTCAGGCGGGGCCTCCCTGGAGGGGTGGGAGGAGCACGAAGCCATGCAGATAGTATGTATGGGTTTCCAATACCCTCCTCGCTCAGGCGGGGCCTCCCTGGAGGGGAGGGAGGGGCACGAAACCATGTAACTAATACGGATTCTGAGACCCTCCTCGCTCAGGCGGGGCCTCCCTGGAGGGGCGGGAGGGGCACGAAACCTAGTAAATAGTGTGGTACTCCCCTGCTCGCTCTTGCGGGTATGGTATGGTAAGGTATGTGAGGTATGGTAGTGTATGGTATATGTGGTATGGTATTGTATCGTATGGTAGGTATGCTATTGTATGGTAGGTCTGGTATGGTATTGTATGGTAGGTATGGTATGGTGTGGTGTGGTATGGTATGGTATGGTACGTATGTTATATAGTATGGTTGGTATGGTATGGTATTGTTCGGTATTGTGTGGTATGTATGGTATGGTATGGTGTGGTATGGCATGGTAGGTATGGTATGGTATGGTATTGTTTGGTAGTGTGTGGTATGTATGGTATGGTATGGTATGGTATGGTAGGTATGGTATGGTATGGTATGGTAGGCATGGTATGATATGGGAGGCTGGAATGGTAGGCATGGTATTGATATGGGAGGCGGGAGGCGGGGGGGAGAAGGAGAGGATGTTTTGGGAAAACAAGAACCCCACTCAGGATGTGGGGAACGACTCAGGGTGAGAACCAGTCCTGGGGAATGGGTCGAGATTTCCGGGGACCCCGCATTGGAAAAATCACGACGTCGGATCTCTTGAGTTCGAGCAGCGCAGAAAAACGAGTTCGATTGTGCCGGCATTCGCGCCTAAGTTGCCCGCGTAGAGTCGCCGGTGGGCGTCCTCGTCTCCGATGTAGCGTGCCGCGCTGGCGGCCCGCGCAAGCCCCCCCATGCTTGAAGCTTCTGCACACGTTTCAAACGAAAGTGCGCGGGGCTGATGCGAGAGTCCCATTTTGAAAACCATTCGCCCTCGATCTTTGAAAGCGCTGCAAACTTGAAAATGAACATGCGCGGCGCCAATGCGAGAGCCAGCTCTTGCAGATTCTTAGCTTCAGAATCACAAATGGGTAGGGGGTCTCAGGCGAAACGCCCGGCCTTGCCTTACCGACGCGTCTGGGGGTGCAAAATAATGGGGGAGTTGCTCGTAGGGTATAGGGTAAAGGGCTAGAGGGGGGGGAGGATGACGAGAGGGAGATGGAGGAGCAGGAGGGGGGAGGGGGATGATGAAGGATGATCGAGGAGAAGGAGGAGGATGAGGAGGAGCATGATGGAGATGTTCGAGATGTTTAAACTTCAAGGATCTGTGTTTTGGTGGTGTGCTCCAGGCCTCTGTAGAGCTCCACAGATCTCTGAAGACCTCCAGCTAGGACCAGGGACCTCTGGTCGGGAGGGCTCTCGATACCCTGACAAGGAGAGTGCGGAGAGGAGGGAAGACGGAGAGGACAGGACGGAGAGGAGGGAAGACGGAGAGGACGGGAAGTGGGAGGATCAGGGACAACCACAGGCCGCAGGGGAGGATAAGGCTCAGGGGGAGACGCATCGACCTCCAATCGCTCATGCATCGCCGAGAAAGGGCCTGATTGGCCCACCCCGCCCGGGAAAGTCTGGACTCGCTATCGGAAGCCTGTCGCCGATCTATGGGCCATGTGTCGCCCATTCCGGCTCGATGCTTCCTCCCCCCTGGAGCTGGTCCCCCCCTGAGCGTTGCCCTTCACACGTGGGGGATCGGGATCGGCAAGAGATGGTTCTGGTGATGGACCGTCGGTGCGGTAAGAGATCGGGACCCGAGCAGGGCAACTCGCGCCACGATGCCGACGACGACGACAGCGAGGACGACGGCGAGGACGACGACGAGGACGAGGACGACGACGACAACTACGACGACGACGACGATGACGACGCAAGCGAGGTGCGCTCACCCGCCTGGGGCTTGGAGGAGGAGGAGGAGGAGGAGGAGGAGGAGGAGGAGGAGGAGGAGGAGGATGAGGAATACCCGTCCAGCAGGGCGGTTCCAAGGAGGGCTGTTGCTCTGTTGTCGACATGTGGGCCGAGCCGAGTGAGCATCGTCCGCTTGAGCTCAAGGGGTGCCGTCCTCGCTTGTCCGAAGGGAGAGGGAGCATACAGAGAGAGAAAGAGAGAGAAAGAGGAGGGACAGCAGCAGGACCAGCTGGGACAGCGGGTGGCTGATCACAGGAGGCTCGTGAGGGAGGGGTGGGGCAATAGGAAAGCTGGCGTCGTCAGATTGGCCTGGCTCGGCCACCGTCTTCCTCTGTCGCCTCTGTTGGTGCAGGCTGGCTGTGGCGGCGTCGTTTGGGGCTCTCGGCCCCCCGCCCCCTACTCCCCTACACACACACACACACTTCAAGAGCGACCGAAAAACCCATTGAAACCTTCACAAAAGCTCGGAGGAGGGGGATGAGAGGAAGAGCACCCTCGTCCTCGTCGTCGTGGTCATCGTCGTCGTCGTCCACCTCCTTCAGACGCGGCGGCGGCACCCGAGGTGCTCTGTTCGTACCTGCACAGGCGCTGCTACTACTACACCCGGCGCTGGCGCCGCCTGTGCTGGCTCTGGGTGCTGGGGAGGCGCCGGTCGACGTCGACGAGGTTACGTCGACGCCGAGTTGGCTGCGACGACGACGAAGCTTGTGAGGTTACGGCGACGACGAGTAGTCGACGACGTCGAGTCGTCGACGTCGAGTCGACGGCGACGACGAAGTCGACGACGTTGACTTTGACTCGGCGACGACGAGGATTCTCCATGTGTGTCTACATATCTGGCCCCGTTTTTGACGTTTCCAACGCCGTTGTTTTACCGTTTTAGTTTCCTTGGCGGGGGCCTGGTCCAGATCACAGGCTTTGTCACCAGTTCCGGGCAGTCTTCGAATCAGCTCCGACCGTTCTTCGGATCTCTCGACTGCAGAGGCCGCTTTGGTGACCAGTTGTTGTGCCGTTTCGGGGCATCGCTTTTTGCCGCTCCCACTGTCACGAGAGAGGAGAGAGCGTCTTGAGGGCCCACGAAGCACGGGGGCCCTGAAGGTCGGCGGCGAGCGAGGAGGGGAAGTGCGAAGGCGAAGGCCTTCTCAGAAGGTTCGGCAGTCCCCCGACCTTCTGGAAAGTTTTCGTTCAAAGCCTTCCCCGAAGACAAAACAGAAGCAAAAACACTTCTCAGAAGGCGCGAGGGCTTCTGAGAAGTCCCGCCGCCTTCTAAGGAGTCGAGTCCTTGGCCTTCTCATTCCCCCCCCGCGCTCGCCGCCAAAGAGTGGGCCCCGAAGGTGCAAGACTGGTGCACCTGTCTTCCTCCACTTCCTCCGTCGAGAGCCCCCTCCACTAAGCGCCGCCCGGCGCAGAGCAGCCCAGAGCGGTCTCCATGCCCCATGATGCGGAGCGCCGCTTCCGGCGCGGCGTTGCGGGAGAGCGCCGCGTCCGGAGGTGCTGCGGGAGATGCCCTCAGATGCCTCCAGAGGTCTCGAAGTTTCCCAAGTTCCCCAGAGTTCCGGAAGGGGCCAAACACAGTACGCGCACTTACAGAGTTATGTGGACACATGTCCTTGTTCATAGATATTCCCCGAGTTTCGATATGGGGTCAAGAACAATAAACACAGAATTACGCTCCAAATGTAGATAGATATGTATATAGACATATACTCACACACACATCTATATATACACACGTGGGGATCACCAGGTAGAGGGGGTGTCAATACCGTCTCGGACTGCCCTGGGAGGGAGGAGCGACCGTGGCATGGCGGGAGGGAGGAGTGATCAGGAGGGAGTAAGGGGAGCAGAGCCAGGAGGTGCGAAGGACGTGTGAGGAGGAGAAGGAAAAGGAGGAGGAGGAGGAGGAGGTGGAGGAGGAGGAGGAGGAGGGAAGCAGGCGGCATGAGGGGGAGGGAGGAAAAGTTCAGGGAGGAGTGGGGAGGGGCAGGGTCGGGAGGAGGGGCGGGGAGAGATGGGAGCGGGGAGGAGAGCAGCAAGAGCAGCGGGGGTGGAGGGATGAGGGAGGGAGGAGGGAGGTAGGAGGGCGGCAAGAGCAGGGAGGGTGCCAAGAGCAAGGAGGGATGGGAAGGAGGGGGACTAAGGGAGAAGGAGAATGGATAAAGGAGGAGGAGGAGGAAAAGGGAGCAGAGGGAAAGGAGTTGGGAGGAGGAGGAGGAGGAGGAGGAGGAGGAGGAGGAGGAGAAGGAGGAGGAGGAGGAGGGGGGATTGAGGAGGAATGAGGAGGGAGAGAGGAGAAACCCCGATACCCTGGGATCTCCCCGAAACTTGCCTGAACTTCTCGAGACATCTCAGAGTCCTCCTCCTCCCCCCTTTCCCCCTTCCTCCTCCCTCCCTCCCTCCCTCCCTCCCTCCTGCTGCTCCCTCTTTACCTCCCGCAGCCTCGATCGAGGTGTCAAGATCCCCCGCCTCCTCCTCTTAAGTCGGGCCTGTCCCTCTACAGGGGGACTATTCAAAAATAGTACAAATATAGTCGGTGGACTATCTTTTGAGTATGTTTTATTTTTCGTCGAAAATCCCCCTCTAGGGGGACACGCCCGACTTAATCCTAGTCCTCCCCAGGTCTTCTACCAGAGGGAAGGCGTAGACCTCGAGGCGTTGGGATCCTCTTGATCGAGTGGGGATCCTCCTGCATAGGCCGTGCCGGACCGTCAAGGGGCCCTCTGAGCGGTGCGCGTGGGGGTTCCGAAGACTGCAAGTGGGTCGATCTTGGGCCGAAGAGGATGGACAGCGAGTACGGTCGGACCGAGGTACATGATCGAGGTCGGTTCGGGGAGGGCGCCCCAATGTTCTCCGTGCCTCGGGATGTTCCGTGTGTCTGGGCCGGCGGAGGGTCTCATGTTATTGAAGGATGTGTCTTTGTCCAGGGTCCGGGTGTCCAGTGGCCAGTCGCAGGGAAGTTAATGTTTCGGCCTGTCGATGGCCTCCTGTTGGAGAGCGCCTTTGTCGCGTATTGGGGTCCCTTAGTTGCATCTTGAGGCCCATTGGGCGTTTTTGAGAGGCTCTTGGGTGCGTCTTGGGGCAATCTCGGGCCATCTTGGCGGACCTGGTGGTACACCCAGACCGTCTTGGTAGTCGTCTTGTGGTGTGGGAGTCCTGGGTGCCCCTTGGGAGCGCCAGGGAGGCGTCGGGGCTTCGAGGTAGGCCTCGCGAAGGGTGGCGGTGCACGCTGGTGGGAGCTATGGGGGCAGGGGGGGTCCTTCGGGAGCCCACGGGAGCCCTACCGGGCGGCACTCGGCATTCTACCACGCCTCAGCGTGCCAGCGGGGCACGGTGGCGGATGCATCGTTCTATCGCCTTGGTCGTGCGGCGATGTCAGCAGCGGCTGAACAGCAGGCGCCAGGCCAGCGAGTCCAGCCTGGCCTCCCGGGCGACCGCCTGCAAGCAGGCAAGCAAAATGCGGAGTACAAAGAGCACATGAGCACCTCCAGTGTTTCACCCTGGTGTTTCAGCCTAGTTGTCCTGCCTCCTCCCCCCTTCTCCTCCTCTTCCTCCTCCTCCTCCTCCTCCTCCTCCTCTTCCTCCTCCTCCTCCTCCTCCTCCTCATCATCATCATCAGCATCATCAGCATCTTCAGCATCCCCCTCCTCCTCCTCCTCCTCCTCTCCCCCTCCTCCTCCTCCTCCTCCTCCTCCTCCTCCTCCTCCTCCTCCTCCTCCTCCTCCTCCTCCTCCTCTCCTCCTCCTCCTCTCCAGAGCACGCTCGTGACAAAGCTCGCAGCGCACAGAGCACGTACTCCTCCACCCTCCTCCTCCCTCCCGACCTCCCCGCCTCTGCCCCCTCCTCCTCCCCGGCGCAGAAGGACGGGCGGGAGGAACGACCCGTCGGGCGCCCCTTTGACTCGACGACGTCGACGACCACCACCACCACCGCCACGACGGCTGCGGCGCCGACGGCGACGGCGGCGAGGGTGGTGACGACGGCGGCGACGGAGACGGAGACGACGACGACGGCGGCCGTGGCGAAGGTGGTTGCGGCGGCGACGACGTCGGTGACGGCGACTGCGCCGGCGCCGGCGGCGTGGGCGGCGGCGGCGATGCCAGGGGCAACTGCGGCGGAAACGGCGGCCAGCGAGGGGGCAACTGCGGCGGCCACGGCGGCCAGCGAGCGGCGAAGACGGCAACCACCGCAGGCGCCCGGCCTCCTGGAGCGGCGAGGCCTTCGGCCGCGGCGGGCCCTGCTGCATCTGCCTGGGGGCCTGCGACCGGTCTGGCGAGGCCCTGGTGGCGCCCTCAGCCGTGCCGCCCAAAGCCCGCGACGCACGCCCTCCGGCGGCGGTTCGGTTTGCGGAGAGAAGAGAAGAGGAGGAGGAGGAGGAGGAGGAGGAGGAGGAGGAGGAGGAGGAGGAGGAGGAGGGTAAAGAGGAGGAGGAGCAGGAAGAGGAGGAGGAGGAAGAGGAGGAGGAGGAGGAGGAGGAGTAGAAGAGGAGGAGGAGGAAGAGAAGAGGAGGAGGAGAAGAGGAGGAGGCGGAGGAGGAGGAGGAGGAAAGGAGGAGGACCGAGGGAAGCAGAAAGGGCGACCACCACTCGAGAGAGAGAGAGAGAGAAATATTTGCACGAAGCTGGAGACCCTTGGCGGGTGGACGGTGACTTGTTCAGCGCAGTTAGAGTCTTCAGCGAGAATATTGATGGGCAATTTGTAGGACGGGGGAGAAGGGAGGATGAGGAGGTCCTCCTCCTCCTCATCCTCGTCCTCCTCCTCCTCCTCCTCCTCCCTCTTCTACCTATGGTAGTGGTGGTGGACAATGCGCCCATCAGATCTGGAATGATTGAAGGAGCATGCGAGAAATCAGGTCGCGGGGAGGGGCGCGGTGGTGGGCCATGCGGCGATGCGGAGGGGAGATGCGTACTTGCATCGACTACGCGTCGAACGCGGAAACCCAGGAAAGGTTGGATGGGCAGCAAGCAGCGAAGGCGAGGGACGCGCGGCATACGCGCAGCGACAGCCTTTGGCACGTCACGGGGATGGCGAGGAAACGTCATCGCGACGAGGGCAGGCAGCGAGGTAACAGGAGCAGGTGGGGAAGATGGTGGGAGAGAGAAGGGGGAGAGAGAGAAAGAGAGATAGAGAGAGAGAGAGAAGCGGCACAAGCGAGCTGGGGCAAGATGGAGGGTTGGGTGGAGTTTGGTGTTGGGGAGATGCGCGACGAAATATCACTGAACTTGAAAAGGAATAGTATCAGGCCCGGCCCAGCAGTGAAAGAGAACTTCATCTGGCACGTCCCGGCACCGACGGAATTTCATGCGGGGAGGGGGAGAACAAGTTTCATGTAAATGCGAATCGGCGTCATGTATTGGGGCTCGCCTGGACGATTCTCGCGGCGAGTGACATGGGAACGGGCCCCAGCCGCATAAGTGTAAACGGAGCAGCTGACCAAAGGTCCAATGAGTACTGAAGAACAGGATTCGCTTATGAGGACAGTCTATCGGCCACGCGGCTGGAACACGATAGCCTGCACCACATAGAGGGGAATTGTGCGGCGGCACCTCTATTCTACACGCAAGTACGCTGGAGTGGTGCGCAGTTCCACTTCCGAGGCGACTTGCGGGGAAGTGCAAAAGCACGTTCCAAATGTCACGGATGCTGTGGGGGGAGTGTTGGTGTATGGGAGCAGCGCGTGAAGTATAGAGATCCGCACGGAAAGTTGAAGGATGTTGTTCGGTGAAGGATTGCCAAGCAATCGAAGTTCAGAAATATGTAAGATCGAATTGTACATTCGAGGCCAGATGTGCGAATGAGCGGACAACAGGAATGAGAGCGGCTGTAGGTTCAGTGGGCATTCGAAATGAGTTGACGCAGGAGGGTGTCAAGAAATGAATGATTGGTCAGTCGGCTGTGCCGCCAGGCCAGGGCTGGTAGGCCCGAGCCCATCGTACATAGTAGCTGAACGGTGTAGCGGGATGAGCAGGGAGAGAACAAGAACACCACGGTCGCAAGGAGGCCAAGAAAGATGCGGTAGCAACGGTGGCGGCAGGATGAAGGAAGGATTGCTGGTGTCGCCCCAGCCCCCTGGCCCTTGGGTGTTCGCGAGGGCGCACGTCCAGAGTGCAAGAGTCGCCGCGATACCCTGCACAACATAGTGGGGAGTTGCGTGGCGGCATCCCCATTCTACGCGCAGGTGCGCCGAGGTGGTGCACGGATTCGATTCCAATGCGAGTTCTGGGGATGCCCAACGGCACGTTCCAAACGTCACGGAAACATTGCGGAGTAGTGTTGATGTATGAGAGCGGCGCTCTGCGTGTGGCAATCCCTAGGAAGTTACAGTCTGATGCGCAACGAATGGTGTTCGAGCAAACGAGGTGCAAACATAAATACCAATTGGAGCTCTTGAACCGGATTCGCTGATGAGGCCAGTCCAAGTTTATGGACAGTGGCGGAGATGAAAGTCTGATGTGGCAACGTAATGGAAAGTCGTTCAATGATAAATTCGCACTGATAGGGGGGGCAGAAGCATCATAACTAAAACTTGCATAACAAGTGTTGTGCGGGGTACGTGGCGGGAGGAGATGGGAGGCGCAGGGACACAAGGGCAGCAACATGGTAGAGTTGAGGGGGGGCAGCAAACGGTGGGGGCAAGACGAAAGGCCACGACACAAAGGAAAAGAGGACAGGGAAGCCGCGGAGGAGCGCGACGCGAGAGGGAGGACAGAGCGACGAGACAAGGGAAGACCGACGGATCACGGAGAAGCGAGGGCTCTGGGTCCAAAGTGCGTGGGATGGAGACCGAAAAGATCAATGTCCTGCCCCAGCAAAAGGGAAGAGTATCGGGCCGGGCGAAAGGGGGGGATAGCAAAGGGGGGGGTGAGAATCAGCTCGCGTAGCTGATGTTCTCGGCGCCTCCCGGCGCCGGAGGCGGCTATGTATCGAGGAATGGACCCCTCGGTGGGGCCGAAACTAGCTGCATGCAGCAGATTTCGTACCCCCCCCCTTTCCCAATCCCCCCTTTTCGTCCGGCCCGAGAGTAGCGATCGGTGCCGCTGGATTTGGGTAGGGAAGCCTCCCGAAACCTGGCCTGTCCAACAGTTGGTGGCGGTCGTGGGATGAGCTCGAAGAGAGCCAGAAACCGGGGCAACAGAATGGCCGGCGAAGGGGTTGCAGCGGTGGAGGCAAGATGCTAGGAGGACTGTTGGTGTCGCCCCAGCTCCTCAACCGTATGGGGTGCACGTGAGGGTGCTCATCGAAAGTGCAGATGCGCATTCTCTTACCAGCGCCCCGCGCATCCCTCACAAGAGTCAAACCCCACAGGATGAGAACGAGGAGGAGGAGTAGGAAGAGGAGGAGGAGGAGGAAGACGACGAGGAGGAGCGTCGGCAACTTGTTTGTTCTCGCGTCGATTCTTGCCTTTCTCATTGGCATTCCCACGGCGAGGGCTGCGGGGAGGGTCTCGAGGAGGCCACCAGCAACAGCAGGAAACACGTTAGATGATCGGCACAAAATCGCGCCAAGTCTTTTCCGTTCCATCTTGGCATCTGTAGTGGCCCATTCTGGGGTTCCGGGACTGCCAGCGATCGGTTCGGGATGGAGACCCGGGGCTTTGAAGGACAATTGCCAGACAGGGGCCCAGGGACAGATCGCGAGCGGAGCTTCAGGGCAGTCCTTTGCGGTCTCCGGCGGCCCTCCATGTGGGGAAGCAAAAGGGGCACCGATACCGCTACTCCCTGGACCTCTCCAGGGCCCGATCTGATCAGGATTTCGACGCGCATGCCGCGGGCGCGACGAGGGCCTCCCAGGAGGCCCCAAGGGCGGAACATCAATTGGCGAGGGGGCAGCGGTGTCGGTGCCCCTTCTGCCTCTGGCCTGCAGCAGCCCTCCGCGGCCGCCTTCGGCGGCCCTTCGGCGGCCCTTCGCCTCTAGGAGCGTCTCGGCCGGGCGTGGTCTGCGCCGCCTTCCCCCGCTCAGGAGGGGGGAAAACACACAGACGCAATGAATCGTCGACTCCCCGGAAAATCTGGGAAACTATGGGAAGTGGGGGGGAAGACGAAAACCCAGAAAATGAGGAAAGTCTACGGAATCCTTGGATTTGTATGTATTTCTTTGTGTGTGTGTCTCCTTCGGCCCCTTGACCCGCCTCCCCTTACGGCGGGCGCCGCCGCGCCTCCTCCTTGTGCGCGGGGGGCACCCCCGCGGCGTTCTCCCGGCGCCCCGCCCCCCCCGAGAGGTGGCGCTCCTGCCGTGCCGGCACGCGCTGCATTCCGAGTGCTACAGGATCGCCACGGGCGATACGGCTCCTGCGATGGAAGCGGGTCCTGGGTGTTTTCGCCGTGTTTCGGCCACGCGCAGAGGGTGGCAGGGGGAGGGGGGAAGGCTTCTTAGAATCACCCCTGCTTCTTAGAAGGCGCGGGCTCCCCTTCTGAGAAGCTGTCGGTTGCTTCTTAGAAGCTGTTCCTGGCGTGCTTCGAAGAAGCAGGTGGCTCGCTTCTAAGAAGCAGTTCTGTGCTTTTAAGAAGCTGCTGGGATGATTCGAAGAAGCGGAGCGCCCCTGGCTTCTTGGAAGGGCGGCCGGCGCCTTCTAAGAGGCCGCCGCCTTCTAAGAAGCCTTCCCCCCTACCCCTGCCCCCCTGTGCGCGCCGACGAGTGTTCGGGTTCTCGGGGCCCCTCACGGGCCCAGGGACTGACCGAAAAGGATTCGGGATGAAGACTTGGTCCCTGAGGTGAGCCCCAGGGTCCAGGGCCCGTTTCCATTAGGACCCGCTCCCCCAAGTCCGAGCAGGAGTCTCGGCGCCCTCCTCCGAAGACGGCAAACTTGCGCAAGCACGAGCTTCTGAATCTCAGCGCGGGTTTCTGGGATCCGCGCTGGGCCCTCCTCCCTGGCGCTTTGAGCGCGCCATGGGGCGGCGCCAGAGGCGCCGCCAGAGGGGGGGCCCGGTCCCAGCGCGGATCCGAAAGGGCATGCTTCTGCAGCCTGTTCTCATCTGCTCCAGCTCGCCATGGCGGGAAGGGGTTCCTGAGGTCTGTCCCCGTGTTCGGGCCCTCCCGTTAGCAAATCATGGAAGGTTGGTGTACCTTCTTAATTCTGTCTTTAGCGGCGAGTAGCGTCGATTATCATCGACGAGATAGCGCCAACTTAAGTTAGCGTCGGCTAGAGTAGATTCGCGTCGAAGTGTCGTCGATGATCGTCGATTCGCGTCGATTCGCCAGGGCCGACGCGATGCTATGGGAGGCTCCCAAGAGTTGCCCCCAGAGGCCCTATGGGCCTATGGGGGCTGCTCCTGGGCTCCCCTGGGAGGACCCCGGAGAGGTTCGGCACAGCGCCTGGCCAGGTCGATGCGCGCGAGTTGCCCAGTGTGCCTGGCCCTCGACGGGGCGTCGCGCGGCCGAATTCCTGGCGGGCCTGCGTCCGCCGGGTCTTCCAGGGACTCTTTCCGGAGCGGAGATTGTTCGGGGTGCAGACCATGGCATCCGCACAAGAACTCGGAGGTCCGCGCGGCGGAGCTCTCAAGCCTCACCGAGCGCGTTCCACTACTCGCAAAGCGCATACTCGCAATCGTCAGTAAAAACAGGTGTTTGCCCCGGTGGAATATATCGTAAATCCCCCGCGGCGGATCCAGGCCATTTGCGAGTGGTTCCTTCGCGAGTCGTGGGACGTGTTTGTCTAAAACTGGTGCTGGGCCCCCCCTCCTTGGCGAGCGGAGCGCGCCAGGGGCGGCGCCGGAGGCGCTGTTAGGGGCCCCCAGCGCGGATCCGAGGGACCCGCGCGGACCGCCGAGTTTTTATGTCTATGTGATTGTTTGTGTCTCTAAGATCGCTCAAAGTGGAACGGCTTTCGCGGTGTGAGGAGCCAGGGCGCACGCCGTCATGGCAGGAACTTGCCGTATGCGCGGCTCCTCTGATATCTTTTTCTTTTTTATCGTACGAGTCGGAAGACGTCTTTCCTGTCACGGGCTCCGGTCGATCTCATGTGATTCAGTTTGGGTTTTCGCCGACCTTATCGTTGTTTGTTGTCGCGCATGCCGCATGCTGCCCAGGAAATGGGTGCACGCGGACTCCTACCCGTCGAGCGATCTCATCTGCCCTTTGTGCCGCTGTCGCACGCAGGCGTGCGCAGGGGCATCTAATATTCACTGGCGCTGTTATTTTTGCACACGCTCGGAGGAGAGAGCAGCGACACCACCACCACCACCACCAGGGGTGCCATCTCCAGCGAGGAGGTCCTCGATGCCCCCCCGAGCTGGCGAAAGGGATGTCTCGGGCGGTGATCGGACACCATACCCCTGGGGGGATCCTCCCGTTGTGCCGCGTTTCCTCGTTCCTGCATGCTTCCAATGGCATTCCACTGGCCGCAGCTGGAAGCTTGTAACACAACGACATGTCCAAAGCAAACATTTGTTGCAGTGTTACGGCAGTGCATTCAGACGCATATCGCGTCATCTGGGGTGCTCGAGTGTTTGGGTTTGTGTTGTGTTCTCGCGTTCTAGCATGCATCGGCTAGCGGTCTTGGGCGAGGGACTTACGATACGAAGGTCCAACCTCGGGACAGCCTACTATACCAGACGGCGCCGCCAAGAGTGCACCAAGCAAGAACAAAACAACCCACCCGTTTCTCGTTTGTAGCTAATGATCTGGCTCCGTCAGATTGCCATCGCCTCCATCCACCTTCCAGGCACCAGTTTGTGCAGCCAGGCTCACCACTGGGCAACTCAGGAACCAAACGACGACGTGTGCACGGCTCCAAGTTGCGCACACGATTGAAACGCATGTGAGTTATCCCACGTGGAGCCATTTGCGTCATAAGCCCCTTCGACGTCATCATACGATCTGGCACGAGCTCGGATTGATTGGAGATGAATGTGGACTCAGCCTGAGCTGAATTCGGGCCAGCTGCAGCTTCTTTGACCGGCTTGGACCCGATCGAAGAATAGTTCACGGTACCCGCCCTCAAGCCGAACGTGGATTACGACGCAGGTTTAGCTAACTGCGCCAGCAAGTGCCAACATGTCTTTCCACACGCTGACACTTCGGAAATCCAGCTTGTGCACACGTTGACGAGAATGTCGACGCGTATTCGTGTTCCCCGAGTCTGTTCGTTCATCCTTTGTGTCCGCTCAGTCCATCCAGCACTTTCCTGATTCCCAGCCAGCCTATCCTTTCAGTCCGTCAGTTCGTCCATCTAGAGCTTCTTGGGCGCGGGCCAAGAAGTGCCAGAAATCTAATGTTATTTTCCAGCCCTCCAGAATTGAGGACCTGTATCGGCCCGATGTCTGCCACAGAACCTTGTCGGGTAGCAGCCGGATTTGAAAAGATCTAACCTGGGGTAGCCCCACGCAACACGCCTAATCTGGCTGTCCAATGAGCCCAGGGTCTTTTAAGGCATTTGGCAAGAATCTTCTAAACGCCTTCCCTCTCCTCGTACCCCGAATCTCCCTCGTCAGTCCCGCCAGTGTAAGCACCTCTCCTCTTCCTCATCCCCATCATTGCCCTTCCTCCTTCTTCCCATCCTTCCTCTTCTTATCCGCCTCCTCGCCAGAAGGCTCTTCTCCCCACCTCGCACCCGAGAGGCGATCGGTCGGCTGGATCCGGAGCCCGACGCCGAGGCACCGTAG